TAGTGCTCACATTACAGCTGTTATTCTATTGTTAATAGAACTGTCTGACTTAGTCTTTCTCCACACTGATACCTCTTCCTTACAGTTACTGTAAATCACCATTTTTTCGCGACACCTTAATTTTTTTGTTATTTAAAAAGGAGATAAAATTTTCTTTCTTGAATTTTGGTTATTGCTGTATGCATGTTAACATCAATGTTTTTGCAAGCAGGTGATCTTGCGTTATTATGCAACAATATCTTTTTGCGAATAAAAAGTTATTTACATTACAGTGCTAGTATTCAGAAAGTTGGGTAATAGCAGCGTCTGTTCAGCTCTGCTCTCCCTTCGTTTCCAATAACCATCGGCGGATCAAACAGGAGGTCCCGACATATTTTTTCTCTCCTTAGTCTGCCTTCGTGTTTGTAACAGAACACTTGTGTAATCAGGACTTTTTTCCTTTCTTTTAGTAATCCTATCTTCAGTTGAAAGTCTACTATGGAAATAATCCCTATTCCCAATAGTATCCCGAGTTCTTTTTTTTGGGGGGGGGGGTGGGGGGGGGGTAAAGTAACCTTCCGTTTACTTCCATAAGTCCGACATTCTTCTCCATATCACTCGAAGAAGTTTAAAGTACTTTTTGGACATTGTGGGACAATTTTTGAGACTGGCTCTTCGGATGAAACCGTATAATCTGAAGTCCTCTGTCGCAGTACAAAAAGTATCTCTCATCACTGCTCATGCAATGACTACAGGTGCTGAATACATGAATTGCAGTCTCTTGGGAACATGAGTGAAACACTTTCGAAGAAATGTAAAGCAAACAAACACACAAATACACTCTATCTGAGTAATGGCTTTTGGTCTGTGTGTTGATACTTCATTTCTTTGTACAAGTCCTTTTTCAGTTCCTTTATTGATTGTAATCCTAACACGGGGATAAAGCTTGCAATATCTGCGATATAGATAACTTCAAATGCTGTAAAATCACTTAATTTCGAGGGGTTAATTTTCGTTGTTTTCATGATATGAGGAGACCCGCGAATTCAGGTCCACCACGAAAAGTTAAATTTTTAAATACTCAAACGAATAAAACTGTACATTTTTTAATTACGAAATAAAATCCATACGAACCAAATAATTCTTTTAAAAAAAAAAAAATACCCTACGAAAATAATTGATTTTACAGGTTCTCGAGTTACTTATTACACATTTAATGAATCGGACATTTGCATAAATTATTAGTTCCAAAATCTTAAGAATTTGTTTTCAATCACCATTTCTTTTCCACCCTAAAACGTGACATCGTTAAATATTATTTTAAATGTTGTGAAATTATCGACCAAATATATATACCAAACCCAATGATAAACTACAATGGACGAAAATTTCAAAATGGACCACCGGAGTTTTCTAAATGAATCATTTTCACAGGTCTGTTTGTGTCAATCGTCCAAAATCGTTAATTAGAAGTCAGAGTCGCTGTGCAAACATTCATTTGAAAACTTATAATTCTTTAAATATCTACTAAATAACATGAACAAATAAGCCTTCCTTTCTCTCGGTCGCAGTATCTAAAATTCTAAACTCAATAAAACAGACCTGGCGGGCTTTAATTTTTGATATACTATTTAAACGTACGCCACCAAATATCTTCTGAAGGCTGTTATTTAAAAATGCCGTAGAATTTAAGTTCTAAATTTGGTGTGATAATAGAGACGAGCCAAAGAATATAAGGAAAGAGAGAGTGTGTTTTGTGCATTATCGTACCTGCTAGGTATTTACTTTACGAATAAATGGATACCCATACAAAGAGGTTTATACGTAACAAAATTGAAGTGGAAATAAGTTAGTTTTGAGCTCATCCTTATTCAAAGGGAAAAATTTAATTTGGAAGTACTTACACTGGATTTCATGAAGTGCATTTTGGATTTCTTTGGCATGCATTATGTATAAAGCAGTGTGAAATTTGAGGAGGGAGTTTAATTTATTTGTGAGTTCTCGAATGTGAAAGAGAAATTTAGCATTAATTATTACAAGTAAGCAGTTTTATAGGAAATATAACCATGGCATTCTGTGTGACTTGGACAGGACTCAATAATAAAAATATCAAAAATTTGTATTCCACAAAGGAGACAAAATTCCCAAACCGGCGCACAAGAATTTATAATCCAAGATCTCTTTCTTTCGAGGTATCAGAAAGGGTTGGACCTCGGAGAGAGCGAAGACGACTATACGCCTATGACGAACGATACGGAGCAAGTTTGCCGCGCGCTCCCGCGTTTCTGGATCCTCTCCCGTCGGACTATGTAAACGGAATGGTGGAACGTCTGTCCCGACCCAGTCCTCATAAACTAACCCCACGGTCATGTGCTCATTACCAGAGAGATTTCGCAAAATATAAGTATGAAGAAGAAGAACCAGGGGATATGTGGCACAGGTCACGCAGCGAAGTGAAGGAAATAGTCAATCGTCTGATGGAACCGAACATCTGTACCCGTTCTCACTACGCCTTCACCATGCACGAAAGGGACGACGACACGTTGACCCCAGTAGACTGAAGGATAGTTTACTGCCAAGTTTTGTGCAAATCCGCTCAAATGTTTGAAGAAGTTCATGCATTTGCTCACATGTGCAAACAGTATTACGGATCATATTCTGACTGGATTAATTACATGACTTGTACAATATAGGCCAAATAATCGTTTCGTTTATTGTTTTATATTCTTTGCATTAATCTTCGTAAGTCATTTCCAGTTTTGTTTTTCCTTTGTATTACATGTTTCATGTTTGTGTAATTAGAATAACGCATGTGTATTTCTCTCTCTTTAAAGTATTGAGTTTTAAAGAGAAACAAAATGTAATTTCTTGTTAAGGGTACTTGAAAAAAACTGTTCAGTTCAAACATTTAAATCATATCCTAGAGGCGATGAAATGCACTTTGTCTGTTTGCCAAAAGTAATTATCTACAAGGCTGCAAGTGTCGATCTTATATATATGTGCCTGGCAAACGCATGCCATGAATGGAAATATTACTACATATTTGAACTTCCATATAAAATATCCATAAATATATTTATGATGTAATTTAAGAAGGTGTCGTCTTTCTTTCGCATTAAAAGAAGTAAGGGCGAAAGAATATCAAACAATGTTGAATCCGTCATCTTTGGAAAGTTCATTTTACCAACAATGAACAAATACTAATACTCATACCCCCCCCCCCCCCCCGTGGAAGTTCAGAATTACATATAAATTTGTATTTTATCATTTGAATTGGGGATGGGTGGGTCAATGAAGACTATACATGCTATTTTTGCTCTGATAATTCGCGAAGTAAGAAATAATTATTAAATGAAAATCTTAACATTATTAAACACTGTGTATACTGTGAACGTACTGTTTCGGTATAAATTTCTTATCTGAAATCAAAACTCATCTACACTGACATATGATCTGATTGATTAGATTTTTGTATTGTATTCTTTAACCCATTCAATGGTAAATTTAATCAAGTATCTAGAATTATTTGCCAACATGTTTTATATCCCTTGTAACAACTCCGACCTGACAGTTACCCCCCACTGGTTTCAAATTCATCATATCGTGTGACCCAATCTGTCTAGTATTATTAAAATTTGAAGATAATTCATTGACACCCAAATACACGTCCGTTTAAAAAAAATCTCATAGAAAACTTTCAAAACTGTGATTCTAAAACCTTTCATACTGTATGGGTATTGAATGGAAAATAAAGTCTAGGCACTTGAACGCTGTACTTCATTTTGAAATAATTAACACTCACACGATTTGAATTTACATTGATTACTTAGTAACGATTATTTGGATAGACACAATATTTACTGTTCAAAGAACCCCCTTCAGTGAAAGTTCTTTTGTAAATGTCTCCGAGGTGAAAAGTTTACCCCCACGATCCCCAAGTCTATACTGTACGATTCAGCAACCGTTAACTTGTGATTTCATAATACTAGTATTCTGTACGTCATAAAGAAAAAGATGAATAAGAGAGAAAGAGTGAGATAGCGAGAAAGACACTTTGCGCAGTCTGCAGCATATAATTTTTTAACTTAAGCAGATATATGCACAAACGTTGCTTGTTACGAAGTTGTTTTTTTTTTTTTTTTTTGTAAAATACTATGGTTAATGACCTTGTGTTTTAGACCTTTCACTCACTTTTCAAAATTATTTCATGCCAATACACACTGCATCTTTTTAGCCCTGAAAGATAAAACTTGACGTTTGCAATCTTGCCATAGAATCTGTACAGTCAATTTATACCTCATCCACACAACAACGGGGGTCCTGAGTCAACATGTTGCCGTTATCAAAATATACTGCACTCGAACTTTGACCTTTCTTTCACAAATTAACTTTGACCTCCTTCTTTCACAAATTAGCTTCAGCTCATTTTCTTTGAAGGACGAAATACCGAACATGTATATTGTTTATAAATAGCCCATTCCTAGGATACTAGAAACCTTTCTTTTTAAAAAATGTAAAATGAAGGTTTTTTTTTTTTTATCATATCAACAGATGTCACTGAACACTTTCCAGATACACATGGTATGTATCTGACATGGATACCAATATCTGGTTTTCTCAGTGGTTCCTGTTTTTCTACTTTCAATGCTAGCTCTACCAATTCTTGTTCAATTTCCAGTAAACACACACACATGTTCAATTTCCAGTAAACACACACACATGTTCAATTTCCAGTAAACACACACACATAAGACCCCTCAACATCAGGATAACAAACAATTCATTTTCTACATATCGTAATTACTGTTTGAACTCCTCACAATGTTATCTTTTGCAAAATAACTTTTCATAATTTGTTCCATCAGGACATACCAGTTAATTGCCTCTAGGTTTTTTGTTCTTTTTTGTTCCTGACATATATACAGCTAATCAAATATCTGTACAAATACTCTAGCCTATTACAGAAATGGCCAAATTTTACCTCTTAGGGGGAAAAATAAACCAGAAGATAAAACCTGTGTAATAATTTATTTTTTCCATTTCATTTTTTTTTCTTAAATTAATATATGGTTAAATGAAAACTCTTCTCTTGTCACAACTGGCAGTTATCAAATAAAGCAGAAAACAAGATAAAACATACCAGTACATGTAATAAGATTAGGACAGAAAAAACCTTAGTATTTACACTATCTATATACATATATGTACAAAACACTCAGTGCAAAATATTTACAGGGGCATGTTTTTAATAATGGCTATCTGAACACATCTGGTATTGCATGACTATAACAATTACCCAGAGACAAACAAAGCAATAAATAAATGGAGGGGGTACACAAAAAAATAATCAATGTTTTTCAACTTAGTTATTTCATAACATGTTCAAATCTATAGTGAATGTGATCTGTGCATAAACATGATATACAAACATATTACTTACATGTAAGTTTAATACACAACAATAAAGATGATAAAAAATATAATCGATGATGAGGATGGAAGTCTGGGTGAAATAAAATTGATGAATGGAGAATTCGTATCAGGTAAAGATATCATGACTCTCATTTGAAGGTGAGTTCATCTCCCAGAATAAATTCATAACATGATCAAAAATGGTCGTCAGTTAAAACTGTTAACAAAATGGAACAGAAAAATAATTTCTTCTGTACATATTAATCACAAGTCCTGTTAGAGTACCGGTACTAAGTATTTGGTGTCTTGATGTAGGATTTCGTTGTCACTTTACAACATGTCCTTCTTATGAACGACAAAACTCAATTGTTTGTGCGAAACTTTTAACAAACAGTTGGAATTCGTAATTCACCGGAGTTAAGAAAGAAAACGGGAAACTATACGGTCTTACAATCATATTGTAAATGGAAAACAATTTGATCACTTGTGTTGAAGATTGATATCACAGTCATTAGTTGAGGTACCTGCGGCACTTTTTAGCACCACATGTACAAGGAATTTTCACCTCTTCTATTGGGAATTTGTAGTCATATGTAAGTTCTTCGCCTCTCTTAATTCTGTTGGATGAAAAAACATAAGCAGTTTTTATTTTTCCAATAACACTGTACATGACAGTGAGTATATAAATTACACTTTATTTTTCAAAAAGAAATCTTTCAATAGAAGTTTTCAAATGCAAGACTTCGAAAGTCCATGAAAAAACTACACAATGCATTACATTACATACATGTATCTGACAATAATAAACATACTTTTAGCAGGATTCACGTTCTGTGCATTTGGCTTATTTGTTCACAATATGGCAGAAAAAATGACTTTCCATAATATATTACATAGTTGTGGTAATTTAAGATTTCACCAAATTGTTCAAGTTCTAAATCTGCACTCAATTATGCACACACTTTAAAATTATACATAAAAGTATCCTTCTGACTTCATACTTACGATGTCATTGCGAATATAACAATATGCTTCTTCCCATCCACATTAATCACCTTGGAGTAGCAGTTTGGCTGAAATGAAATGTTAGATTTGAGGAGAAATCAAACATGTATAATTCAAGGTCGTAAGATGTTCCAAAAGAAGAACATCTATTTACCTCACAAGAGTGGTTTATAAACCGAGCTGCACTTCCATGTAATGTGGCATCAATGACATCAAAATCATCTATCCTAAACATGTAGCAACCAATGCCCTGAAATGGAACAGATGCAGATTTTAAATTCTCAGGTAACTGCATACTGAGAATAAATTTACTATTACCTTATCTTTGAAGAAGAATGGCCTACAGAATATTTTGTCCCCTTATACATGGTTCTCATTTTAACTATTGTTTCGACACATCCTCTTTCTTCCACAGCAAAAGCAAAAAAAAAAAAAAATTTTCTCTTCAATCTCTATGTTTATTTCTCTATTATTGACTACTACAACTCAGCCATAAAAAACTGTTTATATTTTACCTTTCCTTCATAGTACTTTTCTCTCTTGTCGGTCAAGGAAGCTCTGATTACCTCCCCTGCATACTCTATCACCATCTCGCCCTCATCTATGTTCCTCTTACAAAACAGCCCTCTGCCGTGTATGGGAGACCTGAAATAAAGGTATTTAGGATACAGTCTTCTGGAATCTGGACTTAAATGGATGTTTTAAAATTTTAGAGGTCAGTGGGGTATTATGAATTATAGGTAAACCTGAAATAAAAAGGGGTGGGTGGGTGGGAGTGGGGGTGTTGGATAAATGCTTGCATGGCTAGTAAATTAGTTTTACCATGTTTCATATTTGAGATTTACATGATCTTGTTGGTAACAAAATTAACAGGGACTTGCTCTGATGATCGATTTTGAAAATTAACCGATGTCCCATCACTAGGTTCTGGAGAAGAAGTCAAAAATGCCATTGGCTCAGGTGAGCTAAAAAAAAAAAGATAAATGTACATGTATACCTGTAAACTCCAACAGCTTCTCTTGAATGCTCTTTCAGTTTTCTGAACCTCATAGCCATGGGCAAATCCATGCTTGTGGCTCGTCTGCAAAAATGGGTTGCAAATTCATTTAAGTTAGTTTTTTTTTTTTTTTTTTAAATTTTGTTATAAAGTCTGCACTCCATACAACTTTCCGTGATCAGAGCAAGAATCACAGAGAGTGTAATGTATAAGATTATGTCAAATTTACTTTTTTAAAATGAGTGCACCTTTCAAAGTAAATTTATACCAGTAAAAGAGAAATGTAGTCCATTAAGAGGAAATTTTCCTTTTCATGCTTGCGTTAAAACTTGAGACACATTCTGATAGAAAACAAACCAGATATGCCATTATAAAATTTAAATAAGAGAAAATTTGACAGCTATTCCTCTAGGTATGCCTCAGTGCTCCTTAAAAATTTATAAGAGATCAACTATGAAAATATCAACTTTGGTTCTCTTGAATGATGTACATGTATTTGTGAACTTTATCCCAGCACTGGCAAATACAGATAAAATTTTTTTTACATGGAATCAGATAACCTAAAATGTTGTAAACACTTTTGAAAAATTAAGACAGTGTATCTAATACATGTGCATATATGTGTACTACCTGGCAGACTTGTGAACCATCTCAACATCATTTTTGCTGTCACAAGTACCAGGCATGTGTCGATACTGAGACATGAGAAAGCTGAAGATGTCAAATGGTTTCCTCGACTCAAAAGGTTCTGATCTGATGCACCCTGAAGGGTTTTCAGCTGGTTCCTACAAAAAATATCAGTACATTTTACATGTAAAACGAAAGCAAATTTAATCCAGGTCAAATACTTGAAATGTAAGGGCTTGGTGATTAATTATAAATAAAGAAAACAAAAATGTGATTAAAAACACTGATAATCAGAGGCCAAATGTTACTTGGGATGGACATTTCCATGTTAAGTCTACTGTTCAATATTTGGTACATGTACATGTATATCAGAAAATTGCACTTTTAACTATATGCAAACACAAATGCAGAAAATCACAAGGGACATCTTACACTTCTTTAACGTCGTAATTCATTGTATACTGTACAGTTATTTGTCATATCTTTGCAATAGATTTACAGCAGACAAAAGTTTTCCATGTAAATCATCGTAACATTTCACAGAGACTTTGCCCAAGTGTTACCTCTTCTAAATCAGCCATGTCATACTGATGGTATTTGAAGTTGTAGTTCCGACAGTTCTGTGCCCCAAACAACTGTTCCACCAAGTAGACAACTGGGTTATAGCTTATGCCAAACAACCTGGTAGGATCCAAACCTAGTCAAAATTGTACAAAAATAATGTTTAGACATGAGTATATTAGAGTGGAAGAAGTTAAAATCACATATAGTAAGTGGTTCTTTGTATATACATTACATGTACACAACACTGTGAGAAAAATGGTTTCCAAGAAACAAGAAATGTCTGCTTACTTGTAAATGACAGGTGTTTCATTCTAGCCGAGGATCGCAAATCCTGAACTTTCTCAATAACTTGCTGCCAAACCTCTGAAAAGAAAAGAACAGAATTGACTCTTTTTCTTTCAAAATGGACTTTTCAAAAACACCCATGAGAACATATACTTTCCAAATCATATATATCCTACACATGTATCACTCATCAGTCTTAAAATCTACTTTTTTCCCAGTGTTATCATTTGTTCCAAGTAACATACCTGTCATAGAGTCACCTTTGCAGGAGAAGCCATCATCACTAGAGATCTGGAACTGGAATTTGGGCCCATCCTTCTTGTGCTTTCCCAGCTGTTTCTCTTGCTGCTCCTGCTGAAACTGTCCAAAAGGAGTCTCCTCCACCTCTTCCTCTAGGGCAGGCTGAGGGAGGGTCATCAGCTCTTTGTGGGGGTGTATGATGGGGTGGCTCAAAGTACCTGATAAAAAGAGCTTAATTCATAATAAGCCTCAATGTAACTTTCCACGTTTTATGTGCACCTTGCTTTCAAAAAAAAATCTCTTGCTAATGTTGTGGTTTTAGTGTAATATTGAGGATATATCGTGTAATTTGTCATCATAGGATATGATCATTATAAAAGTTAGGAAAAATTTACCTGAAGGTGGTGGAAGTCCTAGTCGGACTTTTTGAGGACTCTTTCGAAGGCGCTTTCTCTTCTCCTTGACTTTCACAGCTGCCTTGCTCTTGACACGGACAGATAACATTTCGTAACCTTTGCCATGTTTCCCTAAGATCGGAAGTGACTTATCGCCTCCTAGCTTCTTCATTATTGCCTTCATGACCTTTGGTTGGATGGCAAAGTTCTTTTCTTGATCATCTTTAGGTGCAGTTTTAATGATCTTTTTGACTATTGTTCCATCTGCCTTGCGAACAATATATGGTTTATTTACAACCATCTCTGGTGTACTAGAAATTTTTATCACAGGAAATGATTTCTCTGTTGATTGTGTGTCTTCTTTCTGGGATTTAAATGAGGCTGGTAAAAGGCTTCTGTTTTGTGCCATAGCTGGTGGAAGTCTGGTGTGTGGAGCTGCCTGTATAGCCATTGAACTGGTTGAAAGTGATGGACCAGATGACAGAGATGCCATTGTTGAAACTGTGCATGTGGAAGTAGGTGCTTTTGTGAGTTGTCGGAAGATTGTCTTTTTCTGAGATGGGATTGTACATTTTACTGGTCTGCCTCTAGGACTTTTTGTTAACAAGGAAGTATGCAGTGATGGTTCAGACACCACTTTTGTACGAGTCTTGAGTAGAGCAGACAATACTTTATTTGCTGCAGTTGGAGAACACTGAGTTTTCAAATTAGTGGTATTGCCTTTGGAAGACACTGTTACGGTTGTTGTTGAAGTGACCCGATGAGAAGTCATAGACATATTGTACCTCCCTCTCTGAAGAGCTGTTGGATCTAATTTTGCCAAAAATGAAGTGGGATCATTCAGAACAGATGCATCTGTAGTCATAGCTATTGGCTTTCCATCTACAAAAACTCTCACAATTGTTGGATTTGATGGTGGGAGATTAACAGATGACACTGAATTGCTAGCAACAGAAGAAGTACTTTGATGAACAAATGCTTGCAACTGACTGTTTACAGGTACAGTTTTAATGGCTGGTCCTTGAGTCTGTGCCGTTGACTGTTTTTGCATTAACTCATGCTGAGCATTATTTTGAAATCCCATGTTCTGAATCATTTGTGGAACATTTTGAAGTGGTGTAATGTTTTGTACTTGTGGAACACTCTGCACGTATTGTGTACTGTTCATCACTGTAGAAACACCAGTATTAAGTAAACTCTGGCTGACACGGATCCCAGAATTGTTGATTAGTGAAAGCATGTAATTGTCCAAATGTTGAGGAATGTTTGGTGTCACAAGCTGATTTTGAGGAACATTTAATATATTTTGACTTTGTGGCACAGTTATTAAGTTTTGATTTGGGGGAAGTAGGTAAGTTTTGGGAGGTTCTGGGACAGTCATGATGGCTGGAGATATGGCTTGATACCCTGGAGTGCTATTGCTGACAGAATACAATGGTCCCTGAATACCACCTGTGACCAGTGGAGTTTGTTGTGATGGCAATATGGCACTTGGAGACATCATTGACAACTGCTGTCCTACTGGTAAAATTGCACTCCGAGATGGAATAACTGCAGGCTGGATGGCAGGCGGATGAGAATGCAGTAATGGATTAAGAGCTGGAAGACTTTGGGGTGACTGTGATATCACTGTGTTTGGAGATGGCATGATGGCATTTGGAGGTGGCATCATGGGGGAGGGTGATGGCAGTATTGGATTTGAAGATGGAGAGATGGCATTTGCCGCTGCTAGAAGAGCATTTGCTGCTGACATGTGAGTTGCTGTCACTCCAAAGCTCTGTGGAATTACAGGGTTTGGAGGAATCATACTTGTTTGTACTGTTGGATTGCTTTGCTGTGATTGTGCTTGGCTGAACTGTGGGGAAGTAGATGTGGAACTTAAAATGGAAGTTGTAGACTGACTCATTAGAGACTGTAATGGTGAGGATCTAGATATAGGTGTAATGCCTATGCTGCTCTCTGACTTTCCAAGGGTTCCAGTGGCTCTCTTATGAGCCTCAATAATTTTCTTAATGTCATGAGGAGTCACACTTGAGGGCAGGTTTATTTTCATCACAGAGACAGGTTCAGAAAAACTCTTTTGTTCAGATGAACTTTGACCTTGACTTTCTACATTTCCTGCATCTGTCACATACATTGTCTTGTTGGTTCCTTCTTCTATTTTCTTTTTCAAAAATTCCTTTATGGTTTTGATTGTGGCTTCTGTATCCACCTTGCTAGGAGTAGACAGATCCACTTTTTCATCAGTGACTTTGTTCTGAAGTTCTAAAAGTTCAACAGGTGTCAACTGCTTAATTGCAGGGTTATTCATAATTTGATCCACGAATTTTTCTGTTGATGTTTCCTTTCCTAAATTTTCTGTAGGTGTTTCCTTCCCGAAATTTTCTGTAGATGTTTCTTTCCCTAAATTTTCTGTAGATGTTTCCTTCTTTAAATTTTCTGTAGATGTTTCCTTCCCTACATTTTCTGTAGAGGTTTTCTTCCCTTCATTTGAATGAATTCCTGATGCTTTTTCAACCACATTGGTATCTGCACTTTTTTCTGGTTCAATTGCATCATTTTGTTTGCTACTCAAAGATGCATGAATACATTTTGGTAACATTTCTTTCGTGGAAGAACTTGTTTCTCTGACAGTTTCTGATTTGGAAGGACTTCTCTGATTTCCTGCCTGAACATCTTTTGTGGAAGAACTTGTTTCTCTGACAGTTTCCGATTTGGAAGGACTTCTCTGATTTCCTGCCTGAACATCTTTTGATGTGGATGAAATCTGCAAATTACTTGATGTGCTCACCACACTAATGTCACTTTTCAGAGGTGACATATCACTATCAAAATCACACTGGGTTTCACAACTTTTAGCAGCATTTTTTCTACCCTTGGACAGGAAATCTCCCGTTTTCTCACAAAAAATGACCTCGTCTTCTGATGTTTCATCAGTTATAGTGATAACTTCAGAATCAGATATAGATGGTACTTGCTGAACAGGACACTTTAGCAGAGTTGAAGTATTTGACTGCTGAATCACATTGAGAATTGCGTTTTCAATGCCAGTTTTACTCTTGCGTTTCTGACATTTGGTTACCTGCTTCTTGTTTGATTCAGTATTCATATCTTTACTTGGTGTCTCTTTTGTTTCTTTGAGATTTTCCCTCTTGTTACTTTTTTCATCTTTATCTGACATTTTACTTTCCTTTGCATCTTTTAGTTCTTTTTTCTCATTTTCTGAGCTATCCTTCTTTTCCTGAGTATCACTTTTTACTCTGTCATTTTTCTTTCCCTTACTCTGCACATCTTCAGATTTCCTTGATTTCTCAGCCTCATACTTTCGTGGCCGGCCTCTTCCCCTTTTAACTCCATTCTCCTTGACAATTCTTTCCAGCTTCTTTCCTTGCATAGATATCACTTGTTTCAATTTCTGCTGCTTGATTCTGCTATCCCTCAAGGAGTGAATTTTTCTGGACAATATGGCATTTCTTTTGGAAGCTAAGGAGGACAATCCTGGATATTCCAAATTGACCTTCTTCTTCAACCTAACTGGTCTTCCATCTGTAATACTAGCTGTCCTATCTTTAAGCCTTGTCTCCCTTCTTTGAGTACCACTGTGCTTGACAAGACCCTTTCTTAATCTCCCTGAGAGTTCTTCCTTTTTTGTTGATCCACTGGAAGGTCTACCTTGACTACGTTTCTGAGTTTTAGGAGAAATAGTGCTACTCTCACTGCACACATGGTCACCAGATGCTCGTCTAGTAATCCTCATTTGATTTTTACTGCTTGAAGATGTGTCTTCTAAAACCACAGAATTCTTTTTTGGCCTCCCTCTTCCTCTTGTTGATTTTGGAGAATTTTCAGACAGAGATTCATCTTGACTGTTCAGCTCATCAGATGTTATTATCTCCTGCTTGATGTCTTCTTCAGTCAGTAAAGAACTTTTCCTTGGTCTTCCCCTTCCCCTCTTTGGAGATATGGATCTGTTTAAATCACTCTCTTCACTTTGACTTTGTTCCTTTACAACAGATTTTTCCTCCTGCTTCTTCTCATCACTGGGAGAGACCAATGACTTTCTGGGTCTTCCCCTTCCTCGTTTTGGAGAAGAAGCATCATCATCATTTTCAACCTTAACATCTTCCACCAATTTCACTCCACCTGATAAGCTTCTGCTGTGTCTGACTGTTGATACACTGCCTCCTGAGGAATGTCTTGAGAGTCTTCTCTTTCTTTCATTTTCAGTACCACTTTTCTCATCATCGGATGAAAGCAAGCGTTTCTGGCCCTTCAACTCAGATTTCACAGAAATGTCTTTACTTTCTGTTTTAGGGGGTCTTCCTCTTTTCCTTGGAGACAGGTTTGTGTTCCCCTGCTGAAGCTTCCTTGGTGACAATTTGTGCAAAACCAGTCTGGGTTTCTTGTGTAAGGGCTTTGTTGAAAGAATCTTTTCTTTCCTTGCTGCACTTTCAGATTCCCTTTCCTTTTGCTCGATCTCCATTACAACCTTTTTGACGACTGTTGTCTGCCTCATGGAGTACTTTCTGGTCCCTCCTTCATTCTCACTCTCTTCCTCTTCATCACTTGTACTGACCTCAAAATCACAAGTCTCCACATGTGTATCAAAGCTCTCCACAGTGCGATAAAGTCTCTTACATGTAGGACATTTAAATGGACCTTTATCCCCCGGACTGCTCTTAGCTAAGCTTTCTGCTTTAATTTTCTGAGCAATTTGATCATGTAATGGCAGATCACTTCTCTTGTCCTCTGATCCAGCCCCACCCTGTGCACTTCGGCGACGCAGGGGGTAACTTTTGATGGGAGTTTTCTTCAACTCTTTCGTCTTTCTGGCCTCTGGGGTACGAGCTAATCCTAAACCTTTAAAGAGATTGTTCTTTTCCTCTTCAGTCCTCGTATCAGGAATGTGGTCATCTTGCACAGATTCCACATCAATATCTGAAGAGTCTAGTCCTTTACTGGAATTGAATGAAGATTCCAATGCAGAAAAAATATTTCTATCTTTATCACTTTCAGATGACTGTCTCCTGGAGGTAATTTGTTTTTCATTTTCTGATGAATCTTTTGATCCAGAAATTCCATCCATGTTTTCTTTCTGAATTTCAGTTTCCTTCTCTTCTGTATCCTGGTTTGTATTGGTTTCGATTGCAACAGTCAGTTTTGGACTTGCAATTTTAGGCTCCTCTTTGTTTGCAGACATTATGTCAAATATATTTCTCTCACTAGACAAACTGTTACTTAAAGCATCCTCTGTCTTGCTCTCCACTGTCTCAGGTTGATGTTCAGTAGAAACATGTAGATCATCTCCTTGTTTATCATTAAAGCTCCCAACACTGGCCTGAACAAAACTCTTTTCTGTAGATTCAAGTGGCTGATATTTGTTGATATCCTCCGTTTTGGAATCTGTTTTATTTTCCTTTGCCTCCATTTTGGAATCTGTTTTATTTTCCTTTTCCTCCAATTTTGAATCTGTTTTATTTTCCTTTGCCTCCATTTTGGAATCTGTTTTATTTTCCTTTGCCTCCATTTTGGAAACTGTTTTATTTTCCTTTGCCTCCATTTTGGTATCTGTTTTATTTTCCTGTTCCTGTAATTGTTTTTGAGCCTCATTCAAAATTTCCTCAAAAGTCGGCTTTCGGGTAGTGAGATGTAGTCTTCTAAGTTCCTGATGTTCTAACATTGACTTGTTCGGTGTTCTGTATCCTATTAGCTGGCCCTCACGGCAATAGACAGGAATTTTTTTATCGCTTTTTGCTGTACCACTGAACACATTTTCTACAGGCCTCTGCTGCTCCGAGTGGAGTAAAGATGGACTTGTTAATGGAGCATTAGCACCTGCTATTAATGACTCATCAGAATTCTGTGTTCCAACTTTGTCAAGATTTTCTGATGGAACTACAAAATATTTTAAACAAAAAATAAAATCCTTTTAAGGAGTTTCCACAACATAATGAGAGACACATGTAGTTCAAAACCCTCAAAATATCAATATTATAACTACTCTACCTTACAAAACATACATGTAAGTAATTCATTAAATACCTTTAGTACTGCACATCTCTTTAGAAATAGGTGCAAGACTAGACACAACTTCTGACTCCTTGGAAATATCAACAGCCTTAAAAAAAAAATATGAACAAGAGTTAAAGAAACATACAATAAAATGAAATATTCACATTTTACAGATTGCACATTTGAATGCTTTGACACACAGTATCCTTACCATTTCTGTTTCCATTTTCTCTGTACTAGCCTCACAGATATCTGTAGGACATGTTTGTGAGTCTGCTTCTGGAACTTTCTCCTCAACTTCTAAAGAACCTGACTCCTCGTTAAATATGCTGGATGTTGAATGTTCCTTAACTTCATGTTCTGAAGTAATGTTTGTACCTTCATCAGCTGTGTCAACATCAGAGAGAGTACTTTGCTTAGATTCAGAGTCCTTGGAGATGTCCATTTGTTTTTGAGTTTCTTTTACTTGGTTTACCAATTCTGTTTTATCACAACCCATTTCCTTAATGGTAGCAGTTGGTAAAATATCAGTTTTCACAAATAATTCTGAATCAAGACCTTTACTATCAGAACACGCAGTAGAATCGATTTGGTTCCCATTTTCAATTGATTCTCTAATATCCATAGCTAATTCCACGTTCATTTCCTCTTTTTCAGAGGTGGAGTCAATTTGCATACCTTCAAGTGCCTCATCCACCACCCTCTCACTGTCAATTGTACACGACAAATCCTGCTGGACTTCCTTTGAAGATGAATCTGCTTCTGCTGTAGAACCTGCTTCTGCTGTAGACACTTCAGTACCTACATCAATTTCAGATTTTTTCTTGTCAACCTCACCACTAGGTTCCTCTGTTGATTCCACTGACATCATGCTTTCATCAGTGGCTTGTTCAGATCTACTTCTCTCTATTGCCTCTGCTATCATCTGCATGTCTTCATCAGAAAGCTCAGAGCAACCCTCTGGAAGAACAACATAGGTTTCATTTGAAAGATCACCATCAGGGATCCCTTCTTCATTAATGGGCTCCAGGCCCCCTTCTGGTCCTTGTGGTGATCCTGCAACATCTGCATTGTTCAGATCAGTCACCTGAGAATTACAATTACTGTCTATAAGAGGTTTCATTGAAGTCACTTCCTTGTTCATAGCCAGTTGTTTTTCTAGGGACATAGTAGGTATTGGAGAAAATGTTCTTTCCTCTGAATTTGCTCTGGAATTAGATCTTGAATTCCCAGCACTCTGATGACCTTCTGATCTAAAAGATGGAGAAAATCGAACAGGTGGTGGAGACAACAGGCGATCCACTGACCTTGATCTCTGTCTCTGAGTGAAGCCTTTGGCCTTGTCTGTCTTCCCAACTGCTGCCATATTTAATCTATCAGCAATTTTGATCAAAGTTTCAAAATCTTCTTTATCCTGTTTACAAGGCTTTGATGCCTGTTGGAATTTTTCAGGATCCTTTAAGTTCAAGAGCTTAAGAGTATTAGGTGACAGAACACCAAGATTCACACACGAGTCACTTTTTTTCCTCTTTCTCACAATCGGCCATGAGGAACTCAAAGAATCTTTGCTAGTGTCAAAATCAGTAATATTCTGACTGATATTCATGGTGCTATTGAGTATTTCACAGTCACCTGATGAATCTAAGCTCCTGGAAAACCCTGACTCACTGCTGAGGTGACTTATCTCCAGACTCTCTGTCCTTGACCTTTTCTCAGGGAAGAGGTTAATGCCTGGCAGGTTGATCTGAGACAGGGGCACATAATCCGGATGAGTTTCATCATGGATAATAGTGGTGTCTTTAATCACCATAGATGCACCTTTTGGACTGTCTGGTTTTACCTCCACGATCTGACACGTATAGACACATCGCTTTCTGATGTCCTGTGTGCTCCAAAACACCCGAGTACAACTGAAAAAATAAATATGACTTCACTTTCAATCTTTAGTATACATATATTGTATGTATCTACCGTAAACTTTTAATTTTTTTTTTAAACAGGAATCAAATTTTCATGTATTACTCTCTTACCTGAATTCAATTGGAAATAGTAGATCTTTTGTATCAGAGATAGGGGAAAGTCTTCCTAATTCTTCTACTGTACATGAACCTAGGAAAAATGTTCAAGAACAACTGCATTTAGTATTCTCATAAAGACGGTATTTTTGGACATTGATCCTTTGTCACTATAAGAAACATTTCCATACTTAGGAACAGAAGTTCTATTTTAATTAACAGAAGTTCTATTTTAATTATTTTTTTAGTGCTGTCCTCTAAGGCTCTTTTGTTTTCCCATGCAACTAGAGACCATTTAAGAAACACACCAATTATAACACTAATATTGGATGGATCCAAGCCTTTTGACCAGGTTTTCTTGTTGAATTTGAGATCTTCCATAGACACACAAACTCTTCTGTTGACTGCAAATTTCTCCTTCGCAACCAGCTGAAAACAGAGATAATGAATCGTATGTAGCTGGTGCACAACAAAACATTTCAAACCTTGCCTTCAAAAAATCTATTAGTAAACCTTCCCTTTTCACAGACATCTATGTGCATTTTAATCCTACAGTAGACATGTTTATACACATCCTCCCAAAACTTTGTTTGCATGATCACATTTGTAAATGATAATATTTGTGGGTGTTTAAATGATGCCCTTAGATACCCACCTCTCCATCCACCTTCTCTCTGTGCTGCGGACAGAACACCTTCTTGTCCTCCTGGAAGAGACAGAGTTCCTGACGAGCACACATGAAGTGGTAATTGGCTGGGCAGCCTCTCGTACAACACCCCACTGTAGCCCCCGCCCGCTGGCAACTGTCACAGCGCTAAGGGAGAAAAGAAGTTTAATTCAGATGATTTCTGGATTAAGTACTTAGTACATGAATGTATACATTAGAGATGTCTAAATGTCCACATAAATTTTTTTTGTCTTCAGCTGGACTTGACACTTACCATGACTCTCCCCCTTGACAGAGCTGTCTGGACGTTCTGTAATGTCCCATCATGCTCTTCTTCATACACTTCAGCTGACCACAAGGCACAGTTCACATGTACCCAATCATCCTGACCAACATACAGTAGTCGCCCAGCATCCTGTGTAATAGAATTTTTCACCTTCAAAACACTTGTTTTGAATTTTGATTCAAGTTACAGTGTATAATTTCAGTATGATAAACATGAATATATGAGCATTTTTTGATCTTACATTAGGATCAGAATCTCCATAGTGCCAACAAAGAATACATCGTCTAATATCTTCACCCGATTCCTCCAAGTCACATGACAAGACTTTTTCTGCATCTTCATCAACAGCTAAAACAATAATTTGCTATTCAGGTAACTAAAAAAATTTATGTTACAAAATAATAATATGTATATAAATAATCTTTCATCTAGGATTATGTGGAACCAAAATAAAAAGCAAATGTGAAACAATTCACAAATAAGGTTGTTAAACAGAAATTTTTCAAGATTTGTCATTAACTATAATACACGGGACTAAATGAGCTCCCACATTCACCATTCTTCCTTACTTGGGTAAGGTTTATTCAACATACTAAATTTATTGACCAGATAAAGATTTCAAATTTTTTTTCATCCGTAACCTTGGAATTGCCCAAAGGATTCTGGGGAAAAGTCATGGCACATTCTTTTTTTTAATTGTATCAATATTTACAGCACTGCGCTTCAAATACTTACGAAGAGGTATTATTTTCTTGATGGGGGTGTTTCCCACTCTCTTGAATGGTGAGGGTTGTGGGGACCGGTGAAGTTCCTCCCTCTCTAACCACTGGGCATAAGTGTGGTCCTCAAATGGAGGTAATACTGCTTCTGGTAGCATACCCCTACAAACAAAAAGAATATTTACATTCAACAAATTTTGTTTATACTCCCTCCCTCTAACAGAAAAGAAAATTTATTTGGATCAACTTGGAAATTTGGAATGGCATTAAAAAATTAAATAAACAGTTTCTTTGGGCCAAAAAATATTATTTATTCTTCACCCCATACAAATCTAATTCTTTTGCAGAATAGTACATGGGGTCCATTTAGAAAGACCAGTACTTACGGTGGAAAATTCTGGTTTTGATCCCAAATCTGACATGCTTTCACATTGAACCATGGGAAACATTTTTCCATTTGCTGAAAATAATAAGAGAAAATTGCATTCCTTACTGTAATGTTTTCATTAGAACCAAAATTCTCTTTAATATTGATTAGGAGACATTATGAACTTGCCTTCACAAACATGGAGCGCACAGAATTGGTTGCTTTCTTTCTCACCAGTTTCAGCTCATCTGGATCATTTAATGCTAGATTGATGATATGAGCCATGTCCCCACTGAATTCATTCTGTATTTTAGAAATGTTAGATCAATCAAAAATGAAAATATTGTTTTAAAAAAAATTATCACAAAAAAAAAGAGAAAAACTGTTCTCAATCAGTGAAAAATTCATTTGAATGGAAAAAAGGAGCCACCAAAACAGCACAAAAAACTTACCACAGATGAGTACTCCTCATTAATTAGTTTAATTTTTACTGCATTGAAGTCTTTGGGATAAGATCTAATGAATCCTGGTAAGAATCGATTGTCCGTCATAGAACACTTTTTCGGTGTAATCAAACCTTTGGTTGGAGTTGATAACAAGAAAGAGACACTTTTCTCTACAGTTAAATCAACTACTTCATCAGATGTCTTTGCTGAACTTTGTCCTTCACATGAGTTCCTTTGCGAATTTTCCTCAATTTGTTCTTGTTTGATTTCTTTGTCCAGTAAGTTAATACTTTGATCATCACTTGGTAATTTCGGACAGTTTGCAGAATTGTCAGTATCACAGACATTTGAATGAGATTCCATTTTGTCCTCCATTTCAACATCAACAGAAGTTGACTGTTCTCTCTCTTTATTGTCAACAGTACTCACAATAGCCTCACAGTTTTCTTTCTTTGAACCATCCACTTCATCTTTTTCTTCCCCTAAAAGCAAAGTAATTTTTGGAATATTCTCCATAATTCTATCTTCTGCACTTGCATCCACAACATCTCCCAACTTTTGAGCCAGGTCTCCAGAAACTTGAGGAGGGGGAGGCAATTCCTCTATTCCTTCTTCCCCAGCTTCTGGGGATCCAGCTGGAGTGACCCCCCTTGAAACACCAGGTGTCGTCACTGCAGACAGTGTCTCTCCATCAGCTATTGAGATTGTATCACTATCGTTTAAGACCTCGGCCATTTCTACATCAGACTGCTGTTCCCCATCCATGGAGGACTTTGTTTCGTCCAAATCCTCATCCCCTTCAAATCGAATCAAACTGTCGTCCTTGTCATTATCTTCTGATGGCTTCTCGTCTTTTTTGTCCCCGTCCACTAGCTCCACCACAGAAGGCCCTTTCTCAGTGTTTTTTTCTTCAGTTTGCTGTTGTTCGATGGCACCTGCTTTGTTCTTACTTTTAAGTACCTTTTCCAGAGAATTCACAAAGTTTTCAAGGCTTTTCTCCAACTCAATGGTTGTTTTCAATGCACTTCCATATTTCTGTTCATTCAGTTTATCTTCTAGCTCCTTTACTTTCTGTTAACCAAACACAAATTTAATTTTAAGATATTAATGAATGTATTTACAAATTTTTGTCAAATTTGATGAAAAAGCTATAAACAATGTTAAAAAAAAGTTTACCATATTACTGAAACAGTCAAAAACAGATGAAAATATCAAAAGCTGGAAAGATTCTGGTTACAAAAGCTTTCTTTTGTCTGTGGTTAAGAGGAACTCAGAAGTACTTCTTTTCACAATGCACTTTCAGGATTGGTCCTTACTTTTTTTAAGGAAGGGGGGTGGAGCAGCATTTGATATAACAATCTGTCATCAAAGGTACATACCTTCTCATCTATGTGTAGCAGGTGCTGGGCACACTTGGCCTGAGTGACTGTGTTAAAGACAGACTTCAGACCATCCATAAATGAGTCCTTCAGAACTAGTTCCCAGTGCCTGGGTCCTTTGGGGGAACAAATTTTACAGATGTAATGCACATCTTCTGGGAGGACGGACACACGCTCATACATTTCATCTATTGAAGATCAAGTATTATTAGCACATTGTATTTCAATAAAAAACCAGAAGTCTCTGATGAGACTGTAGCTCTACTGGTTGTATTTATAAAGGAAGATAAAAGTAGCACTTGGACTTGAAACTTTGCAACAGCAATAAATAGAATAATGATCCTTGGTTAAGTCTCTTTTTGGCAAGATTTATTATCATATCAGACTAAAACTGTAGGAGGAGTAGCCTTTTAAAACAATTTTACTGAAATTTTGATTTAAGTAACCATGGAAACATCATTCAACAAAATCAAAAAACAATAAAGACAATTATGTATCTCTGTAGTCTACTTGTATGCCACATTATTCTGAAATCAGACAAAAAGTGTAGGAGGAGTAGCGTTTTGAAAGTATTTCAAGAAAATGTCTATTTTTAGTAACCATGGCAACACCATTCATCAAAATCCGAAACTGGTACAGAGAATTATGTATCTTAGTGTAGTTTACTTGTATGCTAAGTAATACTAAAATCAGACCAAAACTGTAGGGGTAGCATTTTGAAGGTATTTCAAGGAAATTTCTATTTTTAGTAACCATGGCAACATCGTTCATCGAAATCAAAAACCGATAAACAGAATTATGTATCTTATTATAGTCTACTTGTGTGCCATGTTATATTGAAATCAGATCAAAACTGTAAGAGGAGTAGCATTTTGAAAGTATTTCACAGAAATTTCTATTTTTAGTAACCATGGCAACACCGTTCATTGAAATCAAAAACCGATACACAGAATTATGTATCTTATTATAGTCTACTTGTGTGCCAAGTTATATTGAAATCAGACCAAAACTGTAGGAGGAGTAGCATTTTGAATGTTTTTCACAGAAATTTCTATTTTTAGTAACCATGGCAACACCGTTCATCGAAATCAAAAACCGATACACAGAATTATGCATCTTTGTATAGCCTACTTGTGTGCCAAGTTATATTGAAATCAGATCAAAACTGTAGGAGGAGTAGCATTTTGAATGTTTTTCACAGAAATTTCTATTTTTAGTAACCATGGCAACACCGTTCATCGAAATCAAAAACCGATACACAGAATTATGCATCTTAGTGTAGTCTACTTGTGTGCCAAGTTATACTGAAATCAGATCAAAACTGTAGGAGGAGTAGCATTTTGAATGTTTTTCACAGAAATTTCTATTTTTAGTAACCATGGCAACATCGTTCATCGAAATCAAAAACCGATACACAGAATTATGCATCTTAGTATAGTCTACTTGTGTGCCAAGTTATACTGAAATCAGATCAAAACTGTAGGAGGAGTAGCATTTTGAATGTTTTTCACAGAAATTTCTATTTTTAGTAACCATGGCAACACCGTTCATCGAAATCAAAAACCGATACACAGAATCATGTATCTTAGTGTAGTCTACTTGTGTGCCAAGTTATATTGAAATCAGACCAAAACTGTAGGAGGAGTAGCATTTTGAAAAATTGTTTACAGACGGACGGACAGACAGACAGACAGACGGACGGACGACGGACACATTACTATCGCATAAGCTCTTCTGGTCTCTGACCAGTAGAGCTAAAAACCAAGTTAACCATGTGATACATGTTAACTAAAATAAACAAGAGGTCATGTGCCAACCTACCCGAGAGTCCTTCACACTTGGCATGGACCCAGCTCTCACATGACACACACTGGACCATCTTACTGTCCCAGTCATCATCTGTGTAGCATTTATGACAAATGGGACAATAATTTCCTGCAATAAAAGAACAGCCTTTTATGCATTTCACCATCCACAGCGAAAAGTCTACAGTACTTCAAAAAACAACATCGAAGTTTCAATGACTCTTTGAAAATACAATTTTATGTTGTGTAAAAATGAAAAGTCAATCATAACAGTCAAGACTTTATAAAATCCAATTGCCAGCTACCTTTGTCCATCAGCTGACCACATTCGTAACACAGCTGAAAGTCATACGTCCATGTTGCTGCGGATCCCGAGCCTGGTGTGGTGGCCCCACAGCTCTTACACTTCACACACTTTGTACAGATCTGGTGAAAAGTTCAAAACAAGTTAAAGGACAAACTTCACAGCTAATCCACAGAAATACTGCAGAAAATTCTTTTCATTAGTAATGTACACAGACTTATTTTCTGTACATTCATGTATTGTATCATAACCTAATTACCCAGATGTTTTTCTTCTTTGAAGGTTTTGTTGGATAGTTTGGGCCCAGGCACTCTGGGTGGTATGTATTCTGACACTTGTCACATTGTAATAGCTGTAATTTAAATAATTATCTGTAAACTCATTTGTTTACTCATTTGTCAATCTGAATAGATAAAAAAAAAACTTTTTATTTATAGGATTATACAACTGCAAAACATTAGAAAATTTAGCATTAATTTATACTCTTGTTATTTTTCAGAATTCTAAACTTAAAATCAATTGCAGAATACACCTGTTCATATATATCCAATTTGAATTCAGTTACATAGTTGATATTATTAATTTGAAAAACAAAATGAAGTACTAACATTGTTTTGGCGGCCACAGACATTACAGAACTGACATCTCTTGCAGCACCAGTTGACAGGATTTATCTCATGAGGTCTTTCTTCCTCTTCCAAGCAGAACTCATGGAATGGTTCACAACACACATTACAGTACAACATCTAAAACACACAATCTTATTGCATTAAATTAATTCAAAGGTCATTGTATCAGCATTGTATACACAAAATATTGAAGTACTTCACAAGATTTTCATCTACATATACAATTCTCATTGCATAGCTCATAATTAAAAGGTTTTAACATTAGTTACAAAAATTTGAAGACAATGTAAGATGTTCATACATTCTACATTGTGTTCAGGTGCAGAATGCTAATATTCATTTTACCTCGTGTTTTCCAGCACTTCCACACAGAAAACAGATGACACGAACACACATGGGACCCGAGATTGTAAGCGAGACTCCACTATACCATACACTGGTCAGCTCGAAGTTCTCCTGTCAAAGAAAGCCACAATCAAATACTGTCAAATCAGTAGGTGGTGTAACTTATGAACATTCAAACTGGACATTGCATGTACATTGTCACACACGTGAATTTGGCTTCAAAAACAATATTTTTTTTTTTTAAGTTTAGGCCAGGTTTAATGTATTTCAATTTGTTTATTTTTGCATATGATTTCTAAGATATTATGCTCAATATAAAATAAACATGTAAAGCATATCCTGAACAAAATTTTCCAACCCATGAAAATCCTCCCGTCCATGCAGTAACATGCATAACAAACTTTGAAAGATCACTTTTTGCAGTCATTACCTCTGCCACATTACTCTACCTTCAATATATTATTTTTTGATATTTTATTTTACATCAATTTTTTATCAAAAAACCCAGAAGAATGAAATAAAAAAAAAAAACATGTACATGTAAAAAAAAAAAACATGTACATGTATGTCCATGAGCTACAAAGTATACATTTTTCTCAATTTTTCGTAATATACAACATCTAAAATATTTAATCTTCAGCTTTTTATATTGGTTTCAACCCAGTACCCTATACTCTGCTTTGATCCGGTGTTGTGCAATGCCCTGAGCTGACCACCCTCCAGCAGTGGTCACGGAGTGCATTATCATGGTGTCTGATTTACCCTCAGATCCCTGTGAACAGATGACAAAATATATCAAACAATCAAAAAGAAGTCATATCAATTTTTACACATACATTTTACAAAAACAACCAAATCATGTGTGAAACATAGCATTTTTTGAAACAACCCACTCCTTTTAAAGATGACTCTCACAGAATTGTGATAATTTTGAATGTATTTATAACATGAGTGGATATGTTCATAAAACAAAAATGGCTGCATCCTTGCCTTAAACTTAGTAATCATTCTCTTGGGTTGAGTAGAATTTTGAGATTTGATGCCTTCTCCAAACGAAGAAGACTGAAATTTTGGAAATGAAACTTGTGGCGCATGTCCAAATTCTTGCCACAGTCGCCTGCTAACATCCTCTGGGGTGAGGACTTCAGAGAAAGGCCTACTTGATTTGTCATTATTGAGTTTATTGGCATTGAGAAGTCTTTTTCCTTGTAATGCCATTCTTTGAATAACACTGAGAGAGGAGTTCCTACTCGATGTTCCTTTTGAAGGATCATTTTGAGATCGTCCTGAAATAGAACAAAAACATTATCATTAATATGCTCAAGTGAAAATGAAAGTAGATTAAAACTATATTTTACAAACTTTTCAATGTTGCACTGCATACCTAAGTAATTGATTTAAATTTTTTTAGCCTTGAATAAAAGCTTAAAACATTTTTAAAACCCCCATTCAACTCCAAATTTCTTGTGTGATATATTTAATTTGGCTCAATTATCCTTTTTAAATTAGAATTACAGTGCTAGGCCTGTTTTTATTCTTTAACTTAAACAAATCATCTACTTGTATTTCAGTTAATAAATCAGTTTCATGACATTAAATCAGATAATTGACTTGGTCTCGGATTTACCATTACCATGCTTGGAACCACCTCTATTAACCCTAGATCGCCTTTCTGGTTTGCTTTCCATAGAATACAACTCACTGTCACAATTTCAAATTTCAATAAAACTAAGGAAAACTATAAGAAAACTCCAAAACACGTAATATTAGTCCCAACAAAAAACTAAAATGTCAACATTTTCTCAAAAATAACATTTCCCTCCACAACATCCATGGAGGCTGCCATTATTGAAGGGAGGCAACTCCTAGAGAAGATTTTTCTATAGCAAGAGTAAATAACTCTGTTCTCTTTATTGCACATCTGGAATAGTGTAAAGAAAAACGAAAACACAGTAACATGTCTCTCAAATTTTATTCCACATACACATTCTGATATCCCTAAGATTGTATTTCCTTGTTTTTCTGTGATTACCATATTTCCTTGATGATCTTGCTATTTTTTCCCCCCGATATTTTCACCTCTGGTGAAACTCCAAACTTTTCTGAATAATCTTGAGAACTGAGAGCATTGGCAAACAACTTAGCAAATAGCAATCTGTTGTAAAGTTTATTTACTGATGGAATATGAAACAAAACTGGGCAGGGTAAAAACTGTTTTTCATGTTTTCTCAATTGTTCAAATATTATTCTGCAAAATTTATGGATATACACAAAGTATCCATAATATGAGATGTACATGTATCTTGGGAAAAAAATCTGATAAGCTGCAACTGTTGTACAATAACAAGTTTCCAATAGGCTGAACTGCAATTGCTGATCCATGGGAAGGCCTCTTTCTGGCTTTTCTTCTTTGTCCATACATTTTGTTAAATTGGGTGCTTCATGAATGATGGCCAACATGAAGATTCAAAATAAAGATTCTATTTTTTTCCTCCATTTTTTTTTTCATAAAGTTTATTCTGTTGATACAGACTCTCGAGTTATCTAAATTTAGACAAATAAATAACCTTCTTCCTTTGAGATAGATCCTTCAATCTAATTAAAAATTATGTTCTGAATCCTCTACACTTCTCAAACATCTAACAACATCCCATACCGAGTCAGGTCAGGCCATCTTTAAAAAATTGGTTGGCCTCTCCCAACCCACTGCCTAATAATGGTCCCACTCAAAACTATTTTAAACTTCAGGAAGCAATTATTTTTTTATGCATTCTAGAAAAAAAAAAATTGAAAATTCGGCATTGATATCGAAATTTTCTAGGAAAAAAATTTCCAACCTACCTACTGTCCCAGTTTTTTCATCCTGGGTTGGGAGAGGGCAAGAGAACATTATTTTAAAGTTGGCCTCAGTTTAACCTTTAAATTATGAATAAACATGAAATTTTGGCCAATCAGATTCAAGCTTCTGTATACGGTTTTAAAAATGGTTCCACAGCTACATCTTAACCTAGTGATGCTCAGTAGCCTGTCTTACGTTGCTTGAATTTAAATGTGGAATAAACTGAATGCATAATCCACCCATCTGCCATTTTTCCTAAAGAAACTGGGGGAATAAGCCGAGTCATATGCCTACATGATGATCGATAAAAAATCAGTAAATTCATTTTTAAAAAATATCACTTTTTGTTGAATTAATGTAATGCTTATTACCATTTGCATACAAATTTGACAAAACCTGAATACTGTAACAGCGAAAATGATTCTGATTAACACAAAAAAATGGCAACACGCTCAATTTTCACAAAAACTGACATAAATTGGATGATATAACTACATTTTTTAAATAGAGTGGGTCATCGTACCATTTTTTTGAGAACGATTAATGAAAGGCAATGGAAAGATGTTGCTTTTTACATTTGCAAAAATTTGGTACGAAGACCCACTCTACATAAAAAATTAAGTTAACTTACTTAAATTTTCACTGCGGTCTTAAAAATTTCTAAGTCCAAATATGCTTGCTAAATATAGAGAGCTGTATGCTATTTAAATGGGTATGTATGTGTGACTCCGTGGTATAGTGGTTAGCGAGGAGCTCTTTAAAGGGACGTTTATTGAGGAAAGTGTTCGAGTCATGCTTTTTTATTTTTTTGGGGGGGGGGGGGGGTTAATTTTTTTTACTTTATAAAAAATTTCTATAGGAATAACATATTTTTCACTGGAAATAATATATATATATATATATATATATATATATATATATATATATATATATATATATATATATATATATATATATAAATATAATTATATACATGTATATATATATATGTAGTTATGAACTCACTTACAGTAAATTATTTAAAATGCCGGATAAAAATTATACATGTAATAGATATTTGAATACTTTTATTCCCGTTTTAATTTATTTTTATACAAGCGCTTCTAGATCACCACTATCATTATATACAATGTTAACATTTTTATAATATCTCCACAATAAGTGTTAACACTCAATATGCAGATTAATTAATAGAAGTCCCTACCCATGTTAGACACTTGTGACAGTAAATGAAAGTCAACTGTTTAGCTTGTTTAGAATATAAATATCATTTTGAGAACTACTGTAAACATTAAAATGCTTAAGTAAATTTGAACAATTGAGAGATTTTTACCAATAAATGTTCTTGCATAGCCGAAAAATGGGCATGGGCACATGGCTCGTCTTATTCCCCCGGATTCTTTAAATGAAAACCAAAATGTACAAACTATACAAGATATCCCACACATTACATACATACACGGCCTTTGCCATAGTTTTGTTTACTACTTCTAAGGCATTTATGTTTGGCTGTGAAAAAAACAAAACAAAAACATCCTAACTACAAACAAAAATTTTGGAGCAGCAGTTTCATTGAATAATCAAAAGGTGGCTCTATTGTGACCCCGAATGGGATGTTGTTAGATGTTTGAGAAGCAGTAATGGATTAGGAACATCTAATTTTAATATATTGATCCCTCTCTCAATTCAGGTGAGATGCAGTGCAATGTGTTGAACACAACTTTAAAAGGATGCCTTACTTGATTAAAAATGTACACATTTTGCAGTGCAGTGTTAACTATTTGCTTTCTTTGAACATTCCATTTCCTCTGTAAGGAGTAAACACCTTACTTATTCAACTTACTTAAACAATGGATGTTACACATGTATACGTTTTTCTTCCTTAGCTTCCACCTGTGTCTTCCCAATCAGTTAACATCCATTAGAGATTTATATGAATTGTTATTTCCCCACCTACCAGTATGTACAATACTGACCTTGCTGTACAGGGCCCGGTGAGGAGGTATCCTTACAAGGACTAGATGCTGACCCTTCACTTTGATTGTCAGAGTCCCTGGGCCTCATCAGAGTACCAGGGGCCAAGCGGCTATAGCGAGGGTATTTACAGCGTCTTTTTCTGTGAAAAATAATTTGATTTTCATTCGTACCAGATTCTACAATACCTTTCGGAACAAAATTGCATTTAAAATAAAACTTGACGGTAAAAATAGGAAGGAAAAAAACTTGAATACAAAAGGCGTTTTTACATGCATGCCTGCTTCATGACTCCTCTCCCTCCAAACTTTGGCTTATCGCTGCATAAAAACAGAGAAATAGTCAGAGTATGATCTGATAAAACAACATTATCACCACACAAATAAAATTCCATTTAACAAAATAACAGCACTTTACAGTTATTTGAAATATTGTGTGTTTGCTTTTAAGAATGTGATAGATAGAAATCTGCAACTACTTTGGGGTATGTCACCATCTCCCAGTATCATTCGGATTAAAATAAATGCTTAATACATGTACATGTATATGCAACATTTACTCTGTAAATGTATTTTTTTTTTATAATCACTGAAATTCATTAACTGCATTTTGCCTATGAAGGATGTCTTATTCTCAAAATACTTTCAATTACAAGTATAGCATGGGAAACTTGCAGATGTATTCAGATAGGACAGAAAAGCAGAATAATACTAGAATAAGAAAACTAGTTTTTGATGAAAGAGTCTAGTTCCTAGCACACTCACTTTACTATGTGAAATGATTTTTATTGTCATTGGTCCTTAAAAGGCCAAATGCAGTTCTGAAAGCCCAGGTGCCCATCTGCCCATAAACAATGGAAGAGGGTGACTGAAATTTACATACAGACAATAATTGCAAACACCACAATCTTCCGAGGTACAGCCCTCACATTTCTTGCAGCGGATCTTCCGTTTTCCGTAGCGACCCCCTCGGTAGACTTTTAAAGGGGAACGCACTGGTGTCTTCTTGACAGACTGAAAGTTGTCCTCTGATTGTTGTATGATGTCCTCCAGTGGCAATTCATCATCTGACAATTCTGTTTGAAGAAAAATAATGAGTATAATTCAGAGCACATATTCCATGTACAGTAAAACACACTTATAAAAAATCGCCAGGAATGGATGATTTTGCTTCATTATAAGCATAATTTGCTATATCCATTAAGTTCACTATATATTTTAAAGTCACAAAGAATAAAAATCACTTTGCTGTAAGCATCAATTCATTATGAGTATGTTCGCTATAAGGGTATTTTTGTGTATATCACAACAAAGTGAGGATATCACAGGAAAGCTAATCAACATTCTAGAGAGAGAAAAAAAAATTTGATCTTAAGAAATCCTACCTTTCTTGTCTTCCTGATCCTTCTTCCATAATTTGACTTTTTCCCCACTTGGCAATGCACTAAGTGTAATCTCTGGAGATTTAGGAAATTTGGCAACAGGTTTCCCCAGAACCACTGCTGCCTTTCGACACACATGCTTGATTCTCGGTCCTCTGCCATCAGATTTGGGGGAGTCATCTGTTTCTGGGGAGCTGGTTGTTGTGGTGACTGGAGGGGAGGAAGCAGCCATGGGGGACAACAATGAGGATGGAGATTTCAGAGAACCAAATGGTGAACTCATTGGTGCACTTGTACCCGGAGAGGCAGATGAGACAGTAATTTGAGGAACTGAAGTAAAAAATGAATATTTAAAATTGAAGCATATGAAATCCATTTAAATTTGGTTTGTCCTGACTCAATTTCTTCTTATTATTATTATAAACATGTACTTCCTGATCACTTCTGTAGAGTACAATTATTTTGATCTGAATTCACTACCATATTGTAACTATCAAGTCAAAATCAAGCTTCATGGTAATCTGGATTGAGCTGTTACAATATAATACTACTTACTTGTAACATGAATCTCCTTTGTAAGGTCATTGGACCCTGCAATTTGGTCACTGCTGGTTTGTGCTTTTCTGTCTCCCAAATTGAAGAATTTCAGACATTTGTTGTAACGACAATCTTCGCAGTATGGTTTCTCCTTATAATAAATCTTACATGATCCTGCATAATGAAAAAAGGAAACTTAAATCTGGCAATCTTTTGGAACACAGACAAATACTTTAAGTGGCAGATTACTGATACATACGTGTTGTACATGTCAAAGCTTGGTTCTGATTTATTTTTTCCGTGTGAATTTGGAAAAACCTCCGACAACTCTCACAGGTTATAACACCACTTCTCTTTCTTGGAGCAGCCATCCCTCTGTCACAAATGCAGCAGTGGAACACTTTATTAACAGAACCATCATCTGCAAGAATTTTGTTTAAGAATATTACTCAAGAAATTAATTTCAGATTTTATGCATGTTTGCTAAATTCATTCCTCTATATGTGCACCATGTTACCTTTCACCCATAACATACCCCCAACATCCTGCTCCAACCTAACCCCTGAAGCAGTGGATACCAATTTATTTTTGTGACTCTCTTGAATTTTCTGTAATTTGGCTTCCATTTTTAATTCCTTTTTCAATGTTCGGGCCAAATCAGCTTTAGATCTATTTAATGCTGCGCGATTCAGCTGAAATTTTGCTTTACGTAAAATGTTGTGCCCTCGCATACGTTTCACAAGGGCTTCTCGCTCTAGTTTCTCCAAACGCTCTCGTTCAGAAATGGATGAAAATGGTGCCACTCCAAACTTTGGTGGTGCCATAATTGGTATTGTAGGTAACTTGGGTGTTAATGTAGCACCTAATTTGGAAGGAGACAAAAACAACTTTTTGCCCTCATGTGCGTAGTCTTGTTCCTTCTGTTTCACTTTCTCTTGTTCAAGGATTTTGCGGGCTTCTAACTTCTTCTCTAAAGACCTTTCTTTGAATTTTTTATACGAGGAATCAGACATTTTCATTCGAACCTTCAAGCTTGGCTTTCTGGCTCGCTTCCCTTCCACGATCAGCGGCTGATCGTACAAAGGTGACGGGAATCCACCGATTCCTTTATAAAACATGTATAAAAGATTTTCATCCACAACATTTAACAGCATGCAAGAAGAAAGGGTTTAAAAGATGAAGAAGTAATGAACAAATCTTTTAAACATAACAGTAAAGAAACATTAGTATTAAATTCAAATTACTCTTCAATTGAAAAAAAATTTTACCTGTCAAAGCCTCAAACTTTGGCTTCACAATTCCAGAGGGAGATAAACTGGATATTGGTAAAGATGGCAGTTTTTCGGTTTCAATCTGCAGTTTGGTTGACGCATTAGCAAATAAACCAGTTTCAGGTAGTAATTTCGGTTCCACTACTGCTGGTTTCAGTGACTGGTCCGTTTTCAGTGCTGGACGCTTTGCAAAAGATTTTCCAAGATTTTCACTGTCTTCCTCAATAAATCTTTTGTTTGGAATGATCACACGAGATGACCTAGAACTCAGAACTGGCAAAACAAACTGTTTCCTGGCGGAAACCTTCTTCTTGGTCTGCTCTGGAGATACTTTATCTTTTTTACAGGTCTTTGCTTTCTGTAATAACTGCTTAGCCTTTCCTACAGCTGAAAACTTGTCTTTTTCTTTCACTTTCTTTTTCCCTTTCTCAGAGGCCCCCATTTCTTCTTTTTCATCAACTTTTAAAGGTTTATCATAGTCATCAGAATTTGATTCATCAGATTTCGAGGGCCGACCTTTCTTGTTACCGATTTTCCTCACTTTTCCATGAGGATCTAATCGTATTTTGAATTTCTTTGGTGCTTTTTCTTGGCTCGTTTCTGTAGATTTTCTGTTCTTCTGCCATTTCTTCATCTCTTTGTGAACCTCACTTCTTGCAGATGCTGAGTCTTTTGCTTTTTTGATAATGTATGACTTTGATGGTGTTGCAAGACCTTGAGAAAATGTTATTTCATTTTCATCACTTATCACATATGAAAAATCATGTATGAAAAAATAAATCACGAACAAAAATAAGTATTCAGAACACTACTTTTAAAACCTTATTTTTTTCAGTAAATATTTGGAAAATTCTGATAATCTGTGACAAATTTAATATGTCATTTTTAAACTAGGGAGACATTTTTAAAGATATAATCTTGACAAGTTTCTACTAGTGTACCAATTTACTGATTGGTTGATTTTTGGTAGCAATTTAAGGGAAAAAAAATTCTTGACAGACCCTAAAAATATGGTGAATGAAATTGTTCAAGCATTGAATCAATCCTACCTTGATTTATCATCTCTTTGTAAGACTTTCTGATGAGTGTAGACTTCCGATTTCGTGTGCATTCTGCCGAGGGTAGATTTTCCAAGCTTTCTCTTCTTTTTGACAACCTTGTGCCAAATTTGGGTGAAACTAAATGAGAAATGTTTGTTTCATTATTTTTTCAAATTCATACCTTTCAAAAAATAAATACATGTTAATGAAGCCACTACCACCCTCATCCCATAGCCACTTTCTTATAATAAGAAATAACTGTACAAAATTAACTATTTTACAATTATTAAAATATAATCATACAAAAGTTATCCACAATTCATTCTGTGTGAAAGACAACACTTAAATAAAATTTGACCTTCTACCTGACAGGGCTTGTTTACCACTGGCATGAACATGACATACATAACACATGCATCATATTCATTTTGTAAACATCATTACTTATCACAATAAATTCATTGACAAATAATAATTTACTATTGTACCTGGTGAGCTAATATCACCCTCATCATCTCTCTTATATTTGGCCAACTCCTTTTGTAATTTTTTTTCGGAAAGTCGAACTTCCTCTTTGGTGAACCCCTCAAATTCATCATCCTTTAAAAATCATAAAAAACACATCATTTAATGTACTACAGATCATTTGATATTCTGACATTTTCCTTATATCTACATACTCCATTTTCAAGTTCTTTGAATGCAGCTAGTACATCAAATAAGTTGTGCAATCCATAATGATAAAACTGTTGGTGCATCATAGTGAAATTTTAAACAATTTTTCTTATTTTTATTTTTAATACCATTTAACTCTATTTAATTGGTCATAGCAACATTATTAATGAGTTACTATAAAAATATTGCAAAATATTGAGAATTTAGGATCATTTGTGTGATATTTTTGCTGATATTTGCAATGATTCTGAGCTGATTTAAAATATCCAACATTATATGGACAATCAAGATTTGTAACCCCTTTAAAACAAAAAAAAAGGAAAGAAAAAAAATGAAACATATATTCACAGCAAGTTAATTTGTGTAAAGATGACATCATCTCAATTCACTCTTCATGTAATTTTCAAAGTGTACACATCTTGACACATATGCAATATTCTTATTTCAGTATGCCGTACAAGTGATATTTGTAGCAAGACACAAATTTAGGGATTTAGTCAATAAAAATCAGTACATTACTTTAGTGAATTGTAATTTTAATGATTTGACAATATCTTGCAAGATAACACCTACCTCCTTAGTGCAGAATGAATTGTTGTCAATATGCAATTTTAGTGATCTGAACACCCTCACTAATAATGCCAAAAACTAAACCCTGATAAAAACTCTGCTTATATTTTATGCTCTTATTAGTCCTGTTTTGATAAATATCACTTGTTTTTGAATAAACAACATATAAATACATATATTTGAAGACTCCATACTTAGACAAAGCTTTGTCTTTTTATTTAGTCTCTGGGCTAAGAATAAATATGATAAAATGTTGCAGGTTTAAGCCTCAATGTATATTTCAAATCCTGGTAAGCATAATAAACAATATTGACGTCGTAATTTTGAAATTTTGTTGTCAACAAAAATCCAAGAATAAAAGAATTATAATTATAAATCAAAAAATACGAAATATAGGACAACGAATTCAAATGAAATCTACACGGAAATATTGCAACAAGCTAAAGGGGGGTCATGAAAATATACAGATTTATCCTTAAATATTGGATGATATATTTATTTACTGAATTCTTTTGATAAGAAAAGTTTTAAAATTGTTCAGAATCTATATAACAACGCAAAAATAATTTCATTAAACGCAAACAGAGTGGAATAGTAAGGCCATCATCGAAGAAAACGATCGATGGCGGCCATCTTGAGTGGACGCAGGGCAAAACTTGGGAATTACCTCATCCGAATCACCAACAAGTTCTCTAAACAATCGCAATCCACGGTGAATGTTTGCTACAAATAATGTTAGGGGATCATTGGTATTTCTGGCCTCATCAGCACCATAGCGCACTCCCAGTCGATCGAATCTACATCCAGGACGGCCTGGAAATCGTAAACGCGCCATGTTGATTTCATATAAAGGTGGCGCTGTTGGTTCTATTATTAGATACAAACAAGAATAGCCCACCCGCTGCAACTCGGATAAAATACTTATACGTAATAATATCATTTTATTGATATATAAAATGAATGTTACCATGCATGCTAAAATTAGCTGTTTATGGTTTTTATTTGTCTTATTCTAAATCAGTACAAACGAAACATTTACCCGCCAAAATGATAACGCGGGGATTTCAAACGTATGATGTGAGAAGATAAATTAGTTTAGGTACACCGATTAATGGTTGATTAAATATATAACTCACGTACGAATATTAATCATTTTTACTGACAAAAAGCGCTATGTGACTCAATTTAAATTGTATATTGTCTCGATGCCAACTCCCCATCAATACTTTTCATATATACAATGTAATATCACTAGTTTTCTATTAAAAGCAGTGCCGGAGAGGGTTGATTCAATATACATCATGTATCAAATTTACTATAAAATACTCCTTTTACCCCTCAACAATATCACCGACCGTGGAATACCTTACCTTTTAAAATGCAGAAGCTTGATAGTGTTCGATTTAAAAAAAAATACTTTATTCCCGTAAAACGGGAGTCTCTCCCAAAACATTTTTCTTAATGGTGATATACATAGGAAGATGAATTCACAGGAATGAGGCTGTCGAACACAATCTCCTTGGATCAGATCTTATTAAGATTAGACTTTCAGATGAGGAGTGAGAACAAAAGATCGATTCTGATGAGAAAACTAATTTCAATTAGTTTGGGGGGGGGATGGGGGAGGAAGGGGTCAAGAGCTCAAAAAGTTTTTATTGTCCGACATCGACAATTACAGAAAAATGCATGTTGTGCACGACGAGACTTTATGCTATTTGATACAATATATTTGAAAGATTCATTTACAGATAAACAAAAGAAATATGTTATCTATAGTGTTGTAAATACTAGTATTATATTAGCACTTTTAAAAACATCTTTATTATTATTATCAACTTTTTATTTATTGAGAAAAAACATGTGGCGCAAGTCATACATACAGTATACAAATATAGTCACATAGATTTTACGTATGAAGTTACAAATATTTCTTGTTGACATGTATTGTTAAAAAGTGCACAATATAATTATATTCACTTTGTAGTTGTTTATATAGAGGACATACAAATAAAAAATTATGTCCATTTTCAACAACAGTATTTCAGTTAATACAATATCTTTCATCTCTTGGTATAATTGGATTACAATATCTGCCAACCTTTATCTGTAATTTGTGGGCACTTATTCTTAACCGAGTCAAAAAAAAAAAAATAATAATAATAAAAAATAAAAAAAAGAACGAAGCTTCATGGAAATGGAAAAATTTCAGTATGTTTGAATTTCAAGCTTGTTTAGATTTTGTGGACGTATTAACTGGCTGTAGAATAACAATTTCCCATTACCCTTTTCTTTGATATTTCTAATGTCCCTGAAAACTATATTCTCAAAAATACTTTTTCAAATTATTTTCAAAACCATTTATAGATAATGTATTACCATTTGAACCAATAACTTCATCAAGTATTCTTCGTATACAGTTTTGCCAACATGTTTTTCCATTTCCTGCAAGTTTTTCATCCTATAAATATACATGTTGCAAAAGCAAGTGAAATTCGCAATATTATAGAACACAAATTTTGCACAATTTTTCATGCCATATTTGTACCTCATTTAAAATTTGTTATTTACATATCATGTATATATACACCGACTTGTCTTCAAGAACACAAATATAGGCACTGATAACAATTTCACGTTAACTTAAAAAAGCCTTTGAAGCAGGGACATTAAAGCGTCTTATCCTCTCCGTAACCCCTCACTGTCGCCTGCATTGTTCCTAACCCCCAGAAAACAGGAAATCAAGTCTATTTCGTGCTATTTAAATTCAATTTATTCTTGTCACACGTGTGAATTAATTACACGATTTTTGAAATTCTTGCACATCTGTTGTTATAATTATATTGCTTAAGCCAATTACTATTTCCCCTCTCGTTATTCTGTTATTGACAGTGTATAATATTTTCTTTGAAAAAAAATATTTTCCCCTTTTAGATTAGTGGGTTTTAAAAAAAGCAAACACATATAGTGTGATAAATTATTAACGATAAATATCCATTTGTAAATTGATTAACACGTTCCATTTGAAATACTGCCTTCTCATTGGCGCATAGCTTCGGAATCGACCGCTGGGGTCAATGGGAAATCATAATGAAGCGAACCGCGGCGATAGTTTTAGCGTGTGATTGAAAGTGTCAGCTTTCTTTTCATTTGTCTCAGAGAAATGGGAAATCGTAATTTGCCCCCAGGATTATTCTTGTTTATGGCACTAGGGTCACTGGTTTTGCCCGTTGGTCGAGTGTGTACATTGTGATTGTTTTATTACTCTTCGTGGTCAGAGCACACATGTGTAAATAGTATATTTGTGTTTATACCTTGGCAGTCACTTTAACTCAGTTTATTATGATAGACATGTATTCTTTTGAGTTATGTTTATAATTACATCAGCGATGTTTGTATGTCTTGTGGATTATTACAATTGACGTGTTACGCCGGCTACTGGGTTTTGATTCAGTTTGAAGAGGGCTTACGTTCTCTGGAGTAGATTTTATCTGGGGATTTTAATGCGATGGTCATTCAGGAAGAATTTTTGTAAGCATCGTAAATACTGGATATCTTTCATTCCATTATTCTAACGGCGATGTCTATCATGTCTCAAACCGTAAAACAACTGGGATCACCCCATTGTCCAAATAATCCAGAATTTCGAAGAAGTGATGGGAATTTTAACAGCTTAAACCAGAAAAGTGCCAAATCTATCAAACCTAGTTTGGAATCTCGTCTTTCCCCGCGTGTGAAAGTTGGTGTGGAGTTATCTATTCTGAAATCAAACTCCCCCATGGCGAGGGATAATAGATATTTAGGGGGTCACTCTAGGGAGAGCTCCGAACTGTCAAACACTCCCCTTCCATCCACCCCATCATTGACAGATACGGAGTCTGATTCTAATGGAATGTCTAACTCCAACTATGACCAAAAGCAAGTAAGTAATAACTAATGGATACCTTCTCAAGAGTGAGAAAGAAAGTCGTGATAATGCTTAAACTTTGTAAAGATATTCATAGATTTATAAGGTGTCGTTTTAATAAATTGCATTTCGTTGAGAGTCTGTTCATAATACATTCAAATGTAATAAACTAATAATTAAACAATACAACCGTCCTGTATTGAGTACGGTTATGGAAGTACTATTATTCAAAATGAAATTGACAAAGCATTGAAATATGCAACAGACAAAAAAATTTGGCAACAAAGCCTTGGGAAAATTCTTGTAAGAGCATTTTTCAATATGACTTAATACACACAATGATAAATCGGATTTTGTTTACATGTTAAATGGTGCTAGTATTGTTTGAGAAAATCTTATTAGCTTTGAGCATTAAATCGTTATATATTTGTGGTTAATTAGTAATAATGTAGAATCATGATATAAGCCAACAGTCAATCAAATGTTGTCTATGGTTAAAAATAGAGAGCGTAAAAAAGTGATAAATATAGTCATACAGACGAACAAATGTTGTCTTTTGACTATGTCAAACACCATGCAGCAAATTCTGGCAACATATTTGTCTTTGGCTTGAATGAGAAGAAAGGAATTTCGCGGTTATTGAACAAAAAGAAGATCATTGAAAGAAGATATAAAGTTCATTTGTTTTCAAGAGAATTGAGTGAAATTTGAACGGTCCTTTTAAAATAACAAAATCGAACAAATAAAAAGCAAACTGAAAAATTTAAGACTGAGTGCACACACGCGGTGTATTGTTTAAAATGCCCAGTTCATGAAACGAAATTTGGTAAATATTTAAACAAGAGTTTCTCTTTAAAGAATTAAGCTATGTGTAAATATAACACTGAATATCTTAAAGTTATCAAACTTTGTTTTTGTCCATTTGATAATGTATTTGAAGAACATTTGTGGAAATTGGTGCCGAGTTGTTTTTTGGCCCGGGTACAATTTTTCCCCATAGGTTGAAACAATATTACTCAAATGCAGTCTTGTTACGGCCTAAGTAAAACTTCAGCACTGCAAATTACCAGAATCGATTGGAGTTTGCATTTCTTATGAACCTTCTCGACTAACATTATTTCTTATTAATGAATTTTAAATTTATACTTCATTTACTTGGGTGGTCGTTGTTATTTTGAAAGGTTGAAAAATAACACCTGTTTCTTCAATTTTCGCAACAGAAATGTGTAGCAATAAAGCCAACGCGTTTTTTTAAAAATAAAATATGTTGAGGGCAATCATGGACATCACAGACATAATTTTACAATCTATCGATCAATGTTTAATTGCGTTCGGTCGCCACTTGACAAGATAGTCTGCACCTGAGAGGCGAAAGAGTGTTAGTAATTGTAAAACGACATGCAATCACTGTCGGAACTTCTCTACCTGCGAGCAACAAATCCGATATAACGTGAATAGGACATAAAAGAGATCAGTTTGCTTTTATATTTTTGCTCCAACTCATGGGAATCTTGATTTACGATAGGATGCTTCAGTCCAAGGGCTTCAGACTCAATGACACATAACATTATATTAATATTAAACGTGTATCGATTTTCTTACACCTTTATATCAATAATTAAATAAGGGTGGCAATTAAGAGCGTCGTGAGAGTCGGAGAGTGAAAATTATATTAAATCCTTTTACTAGATTTCTGCAGAAAAGATGTACAGGAGATCGATTCTAATATACGTAAATTGTCATTGAATGATTAGATTACAGCATATTTCAACAATAAGGTGGCGACTGCAAGATGTTTCATTTAAAATATGCATAATGTTACCATCAAACAAGGTGATTAAAATTCCTCTGAAAGGATTCATTTTAGAGTAATTCTAATATTAAAGGTCTAGATTTCGCTTGTATGAATCTGATTTGAACTATACCCTTTAACTAAAGATTATGTTATCAAGTTATATGGTGAAAACTATAATAAAATTCTGGAAATAAATTTACTTGGACAGGTTGCAAAATCAGGATTATTTCGTCCATGATTGGGTGATATTTAGCCAATGTGTTTAGACACTGGCATCAAGTTCAAGAATGTTTATGACTTTGCAACAGCGTGTGAATCCCACACATGTGTTTCCAATCATCGATGACTGCATGCAAGGTTACGCTGACCGTACGGGGTTATTTAAAGAGACAGATAATCAATGGGAATCCCAATTTAAAAAAAATTAAATTAGTTAATTATGGTAAATCGTCATAACAGCCTCCTATTATCGTCAGACGATGGGAAAAGGAGCTCGTTTTAATCAGTCTGGCTGTCATAATTTAATTAAACACGGATAATTTAAGGAGAATCCAACCAAAGTACACATACCCTTGGACTGTTTCAATTCTTTATTCACTCAAAACCAGATCACTGGTACATGAGGTACATATACACATATATACAAACAAAAATTACAGTCAAGGGTCAAAAAATAGACAAGTATATAAAGAAAAAAGAAAAGAAAGTAAACATATAATCAGTTATATATATGGAGGATTCAAGAAGGACAGACAGTTTTAAAGATTTTCTTGATAAATTTTGACAGTGATTTTTGTATTTCTACATTATTTGTGTTCATTAGTTCATTTAATTTGAAAGTGTTAGGATTTTTACAATATCTATTTTGGAGAAATATTTTTTCTGTCATTCGAAAAAAACTTGCATTCCATAACATAATGAAATTCATCACCAATAGTTTTACAATCACAAATGGTACATATTCTTAAATTTCTATCAATATTATTCCATCTACCTGTTTCAATTGGCAAATGATGATTACACGTTCGTAGTTTTGTAAGTGTAACTCTTAAATCTTTTGGTAAATTCAGCAGATAATTTTCGAAACCAAAGTTTGTTTTAAAAATTCTATAATTAATACACTTGGGTGAACTATCAACAATGCTTCTCCATTCTTGTTCAAATTGATTTTTTAGGGTATCTTTAATAATTGACTTAAGCCAGTTAAAACTATGAAATGATTGACTTGTCCATATATAAGACAATCCACAAGAATTAAGCACATCTTGTACACATTTTATCCATGGATGTACAAACGACCCATCGATATAACACCTATAAAAATATGAATAAATCACATTTGTAAGCTTACTTTCATGGGCTGTTAAAATTTTTGCCCAGTACATAACCATTTTTAATTTTATAAATAATGACAGTGGATATCTACCTGTTTCTCCATACACCATACAATTTGGGGTACTAGATTTAAGATTAAGAATAAATTTCAGGAATTTTAAGTGCACTTTTTCTATTATGTCTAAGTTTTCATATCCCCAGACTTCACAAGAATAAAGTAAAATTGGGTTGATGACTGTTCGACTATGCACAGCAATTTTTTTCCCTCAAACATGTCAAAGTACCGCGAATAAATGTAGAATCGACACAGGATGATGATTAAGATACATCAAGATGATTTCAAGATAGAAATTGACATCGTGATTTCTTTTAAAAAAGTGATTGGGAAACACTGATGCCCCGTATTGTAGTATAAGGTTAAAGTCTTTCAAAAGTAGGTCAAACGTCAAGGTCATGAGGTCAAATAATGTTTGTACCCAAAGAAAGGTCTTGCCACAAAAAATAAACATTTGAAATATGAAAGCCCTAGCACCAAACGTTCAGAAGGCCAAGGTTATATTTTTTTTCAAAAGTAGGTCAGTCTCCAGGTCAGGGTCATGAGGTCAAAAATGTTGGTACCTGAAGAAAGGTCTTGTCACAAGAAATAGTTTACAAATGTGAAATATGAAAGCCCTAGCATCAACTATTCAAAAGTTATTGGCCAGGGTAAAAGTTTGGGTCGGTAAAGTTTTTCAAAAGTAGGTTAAACTCCAAGGTCAAGGTCTTGAGGTAAAAAATGTTTGTATCCAAAGAAAGGTATTAATACCGTGCTAAATATGAAAGCACTGGCACTAACAGTTCAGAAGTTGTTGCCAAGAATAAAGTTTTTCAAAAGTAGATCAAACTCAAATGTCAAGATCAAAAGGTCAGAAATGTTGGTACCCAAAGAAAGGTATTGTCACAAAGAATACATAGAGGATATTCAATGTTTTGTAGTTGGATATAGAATTTATTTCACGAGTGGGACATGATTTTTTGATATTTTCACGAGTGAGAAGCACGAGTGAAAATATATAAAAAAAAATCCTGTCTCACGAGTGAAATAAATTCCATATCCAACTACAAAACATTGAATTTTCTGTTTATTACATTTTCTTTGATTTTCCCTTTGCCTCTGTCTTTTCTTAACACAGTGTCATAGGCTGTGATGTCATAGATGAGCAGTTGAGATGTCATAGCTGAGCAGTTGTGAGATTGAAAATATTGTAAATAGATTTTAAACTTTGGGAAGAAAATGGCAGTTTTAGTCTCTATTAAGATGATTTAGTTACTATATCTATCTTATTACAGGCCAGAAATTATTTTTTAATTACTTTGATATCCTTTCACACTGTGAGAGAATATCACTTTTGGTATCCTTTCACACTGTGAGAGAATATCACTTTTATTCAATAAATGAATCACAGTATTTCACTACTGAAAATGTAATAAACATGTAATATTTTGAAAGCCCTAACTGTTCAGATGTTATGGCTAGGATTATATATATATTTTACAAAAGTGGGTCCAAGGTCAAGGGTCTTGAAGTAAAAAATGTTAGTATCCAAAGAAGGTCTTGTTACAAGGAATACACATTTGAAATATGAAAACCTTAGCACCAATCATTCAAAAGTCATTGCCAAGGCTTTTTTTTTTTTTTTTTTTTACTAATAGACGAACAGTCCCAAAACGTTAACTGTTAGGCTCCCGAATTTCTGATTACGGGGGAAAACCTCAGACGATTAATTAAAAAAGTTCGTTATGAAAAGTCTTAGTCACATTGAAAAGGAATTTTAAACTTCATAAGTGGAACATATTTCTTTACACATAAGTTTTCGCATACATATATCTTTGAATTTCGCGGTATTCTGAAACTTATAAAATAATAACACCTCCCTACTTTCAAAATCAGCCGGAAGTAAAATTATTAGTCTCAAATCCTTGTATTTTTGACAATAAATATAGTAATTATTTGTTTTAATTTTGGAAAATTATAAAAGAATGGAGGAAAAACTAAGTCTGAGATAAGTATTGTGAAAAGGTTTGTTCATGAGCTAAATACACTAAAATGCTGTTGTAGAGATTTCTGGCAACCCGCCATTTTGAATAAAAATCAACAAACTTCTTCATGCGTGCACATCAACATGGGAATGTCAATATGTAGACTCTATAATAGAATTGACTTGCAGTTGAGATAGAAAATAATAAATCACAGATGAAATAATGGAGGTAATATTTGTTAATCTTTTGTATTTTAAAATCGAACAACATGTAATGATGTATAACGATGAGAACTCGGCCATCAGTCGATAATTTTGTCATTTTGTTCAACGAACCTGATTCTTCTTATCATTAGCCACCTGTTGTTACGATCATATTATAGAAAATTTCAGTAATTATAATAGATTTCCTGTAGTTGAACATGTTCGCGAGTGAAGTATACAGCTTTAATTTTGCTCCAAAATATAAAGGAATTATACAGTTGTACAGTTTATTGTTTTATATCATGTTAATTGTTTATATTGCCTTCCGTTGTTCTTATTATGTAGAACAAGGACTTGTTTAAAGGTTTAGATGTAAATTATACTGCGTCCAGTGCAGAATTTGTTTTAGAACTCGTCTTTCATATTTTTAAATATCAACATTCACATGACAATTTAAGCCTCACAAGTTGCTCTTTTCTATGCAGGTAAAAAGTGTTTGATTGGAACATTTTTCTTGTTTGTCAATCTAGAAATTTCACGGTAACTGCGATACTGCTCTTTTGCAGGGCAAAATGATATAGTTTGGTGAAATATGACGTAAAAGTAATTGTGAAATATACGTCATTTGATTATCTGTCAACAAAAACTTCGCCAAACGTTAGTTTCATGCAATTCTTATTCTGATCAAAACTTGAAATGACTAAGAAGTGTTGGGTAAGTTAGGGGTAAATGCTATTAAGTACAATGTACATTATATTTTAATTACTTTGGCTCATTTAAGATGCTCATTACAATTGGTGTTCACTTGTAGTGGTAGGCTTTTCACTAGGGTCGCTCACTCCCTTGTCATTAGGGCAAAAGAATGAAAAAATGTGATAGCCAGTTTATTGCCCTGACTCCCTGAAAAGTTGTTGTCAGAGATAGCTCTGTATGTAACCATTGAATACCTCACAGCAGTCCCATCAAATGGCAAAAAATTTAGGTTAGAGAGTAGTGGGTTAATTGCTGGTCTGGAAGTTTAATTAACAAAGTGATTATTTCTTTTGCCATTAACTTGAATTTTTTCCTCAGAGAAGAGAGACCTTACAGTTTATTTATGCAAATGAATGATAATTTTTTTTTACCATTAGAACGATATAAAGTTTCATAATATTATTTTTGTGACTTAGACCTTAGAAATTTCACATTGATATCATTCATTCCTTACGAATTGCAGTGAAGTTGAAGGCAAGGAGGTGCATTTACAGTTTAGAGCAGTTTATTTCCTAAGTGTGATGTTAAGTTGTTTTTGAGGAAGTTTATAACTGTAGCTTTGCATTAATTTTGACTAAATAGAGCTGTACAATTACATTGGTTAAAGCATTGTTGCATAAGTTTTTAACAGAGTGCCTATGCATAATACAATAGTGTTACAGTTACTATAAGTCATATCAAGTGCAGAGGAGAAGTAGAAGGTCTTCCGTATTTCACACATCCCTAAGTGGATTTGGCTATCACTTATACTGACTGCACTTTAGAACTCTATTGTATAATAAAATATGCTATACATGGACAGAATGACATAAGGCTTTTGCTGCATTGTAATTGGTTGCTGTGGAGGCATAATAAGACATGAATTCTGCCTATTTGGTAATGTAGATTTTGTACCACCCAGTAGGTTTTTTTTAATTTCCATTGGTAAATCATGTAAATAGCAAGATAGTTTGGAACAGTTTACCAAAAGTGTTTTATTTTGTATTGATAGTTTAGTGAAAAACTAATAAATGCAGTTATTTTAAATTTCTGTGTAGTATTAACAGTTTTATGAGATGTTCACTGCAAGGATGACAAGTTAAATGGTCCAAGTGTTTGTAGAAATAGTAACAAGGATATATAACTCCAGACATTAATGTGTAATGATGAAGATGATGTGCAGGAGGGTATGACATTCATGAGCCTGATGTGCAATTATCAACTGATCTGTTAATGTGATATATATCTTCACACATCTGCACAATGCAGACCATGCATAAGGCACATAACAAAGAAATTGTGCGAGACATTATGATGTGAAATCCTGTTCTAGGAATCTTTTATTAAATTTGTTGGTTCTGAGGTCAGCATGTCACATTCGTAAGTTAGGCTGCTTCAGTATTTAAGGGTCAGTTTATGGCCAGTTTTAGGCGTCTGGGACTAGCAAAACCAGTGTTATTTCCTGTGAGTTTTATTTGTGTAATGCCTGCTCGATTTTAACACAATGCTCTTGTCTTTTTGTGGAGAGGTTTTTTCCTGGGAGGAAATGGATCAAATGGAGGAAGTGAGTTTTTTTTTTGGTGGTAACAGATTTTTAACTTTTTACATAAAGTTATATCTCTGATGGCATTTAAATACATAGATTCAACCCTCCAATATTTTTATTAAAAGATAAAGGTTTAAACATTTTTAGAACAAGTGTAAGTATATATATATAGAAGTGATAATGATTTCAGTGTTCGGTAAGTTTTAAAGTCAACAGAAAAATTCCAAAGAATATATGTGATGTTAGAGCTTTAATAAATAAATCCAGTCCTTATATTACTTTGATAAAATATTTACATTTGTTTCCAAAGTATATTAGCCTAAGAGCAGACAACTTGTGGTACATTTATTGCACTAAGTAGCTGGGTCATGTACATTAAGGGAAATTCTGGCCATTTAAATTCAATACAGTGAAATTTTATGGAAATAATTGAAGGATAGACAAGAAATCTGATGTTGAAGTGACAATTGGGGGTTTCATTTTCAAAAGACTTTATGGGGAGTGTCAATGCAGGACCAGTGCTATTTAAATTCAATTTTCAACAGGAACTTACGTGCCTTGTAGAATTTTTATGGGATGATAAAATGCCATCACATTTGTCAAGCTGTTGGAATTTCTTTCAATTTAGGAATTCATCTTATCTCCATTTTATAGGATATTAACATCAAATTTGAAAATAAGTGACTGTGAAATTGGATTTTTTTCTTTTGTGTAATATCATATGCACCAATGATGCAAATGGAAATTGCATAATCTTTATTGGAATGATAATGTTACTCTGTTAATGTGAAACATTTGGGGTATAAAGAGACACTAAAGGTGGATGTTGGATTTTATTTTACAAGATGTCGGAGTCTAGCTCTCCCTCCAAAACCCCCGAGGATGAGGGGTCGAAATCGTGGGAGGAGTGGCAAGTAAGTCCTATTGAATGGCTGACCACTAGTGCCTTTGTACTGTGACAATATCAGTCTCTAGTCTCATTTCTGTATACTTTTTTTCTTTGATTGTGATTTATATCCTAATCTTTTGCATGGATGATTGTTCATATGTTTTCTGCTATGATGTTAGATGTTGACCTATGTTATGTAAGGATGATACAAAAAAGAAAAGAATTTATTTCTAGAATACTTGTGACACAGGAGAAATTGATGAAATACAATAGGGTTTTTCAATACAGAAGATTGTGTTGTACCTTAATTTGGCTATGTATGTACGTTAACTTATATTTTGAAATGACTCATCTAGAAAGACATAGCAAGGATATCAGTGTGTATTGTAAGTGATCAATATTGTGTATGGAAGTTGCTTTTGATCTGGGACGTGATACTGCATACATTGTGTACATCACCAGGGCTTCCAAAAGCAAAATTATGTCTCTGTATGTTATAATCCCAAGGTTTGAAACAGAGAATTTTTATCTTCTTTATTTATTTGCATGATTTTGATACTATTGTAAGAAAAAAAAAGAAATCTTTTGTAAGAAAGAAAAAAAAGAAAGGCACACTTATTGCATCAACAAAAACAGATTTTGTTTTGAAGAGGTATTGATAACTTTGAATGAAATAATAGCTGCATACAGTAATCAAAGAAATATTAGCTGTACACGGTATTCTAAACATCTACAAACTTGTCAAACTATTCTTAAGGATCTGCACTCTGTTTTAATTTACAAACTGAATTGTTCCCCTTTGTGATAGGAGGCTATGATAAAGTTGTCTCCCTTACAAACACAAAAATAATCCTATAGGCAGATCTTTTTTATGATTTAAAAAATGGGACCTGTATGCAGACATTATGAATCATATCAAATTTGTTTGTTTTCTGTGTATTTACAAAGGCAGTATTATGAGTGATATTATTAGTACCCACTTGTGGTAAGACATGCTACAATGGACCCCATTATTGGGGGACTGGTTATCGAGCTAGACAAACATGATCTAGAATTGCTCTTGTCCTTTAACATAATCATTGATCAAGATAGATCTTTTTTTCACTCAATTGAAGTTTTTCAAATTCACTTTGAATGGTATAAATTGAAAACTATGAAGAACTTGTTTGAACTTAATAGATTTGCTAGTGAAGTTAAATGGAAAAAAAGGTCTCTTTAATATGAGCAGTAATTGTGTCATAAAACTGACAAAGAAGAGATATTTGAGGCTTATTGAGATAATGCTTGGGTTTTAAACATAGATTTATAACTGATATATTGCATTTGTTCTGAGAGATAAAAAAAAGTTAAGAAAACTATCCAGATTCCCCTTTATTTTCTGCTCTAGACAAATATTTATACAAGGTATGTTTTTGTAGTTGAAAATGGAAGCATAAACCAAGAAGCATGGCATGTTACTGATAAAAGCTTTCAACTTGGCGCATGTCATACATGTATTAGTCTAATAGTCTTCTCCACTTGCTCTAGTTATCTGTAATTTATAGAAGACATTATAAAAATGATTATCAGATAAGGTTCATTAACGAGAATTAGTGTGACAGGTAACCTGGTTTTCCTGTGAACAGAAACACATACACATTCCTGACATAGGGAATGTGTTAATTGTTACTACATGTACTAGTACTGGTTTCTCTTTGAGTCAACATCTTACATCAAAATTGGTGGATCTTCGTAGTGATCATGGTTATTGCATTATAACTCTCAACTTATCAGCACTAAACTTAAGAATTACCATTAAGTGCTTGTGGATTTTATAAAATTTACTATGTTTAACCAGTACAAGTAATTTAAAAAAAAAGTTAGCAAGATTAAAAAAAAATTATATATTTTAAATTTCTTTCACAGAACCAGCTGCATGCTTACGTAGCATGGGTAAACTCGCAGCTGAAGAAGAAACCGGGAGTGCGACAGATTGAGGACCTGAGGAACGATATGAGGGATGGTGTAGCCATAGCAGAGCTGATTGAAATTGTCTGTAAGTAATCAGTAAAAAAAAAAAGAGGCCAGGTCCCACTACATTTGTCTACTGAAATTTTTTGACTTATATTAACATTTTATAACACTTCAAAAGAAAAAGTTGCGCCTTAAGTCTATTGGATTTAAATTTTTTTTAAAGCTATGTACATGTACCAGCAATGATTTTACTTTGAGTAGTTTATAAATAAGTACCCATATAAATGATTTTATTACATGTAATTTAAGAGAGTTTTCTGCCTGAAGCCTCGCTAAGTAAAATTTGATACATTTATTTTTGATTCATGAATAATAAATGCTATATGCATGATATGCATGTGATATGTCAAAAAAAAATCAATCCCTTGTTTCAAATGCTACTGTTAATCAGAATATGAACATGATTAATTCAAAAACTAATGGTAAAGAATAATTGATTACCATTTTCAGTCAACTTCGGTGTCATACTGAGATGAAATGTTGAAAAATATTTTGAAAGAAGTGTATGTTTTGAAATCTATTGAATGTCATCTTCCTAAATGGATTTTAGTAAGTTGCACATGATAAAATGCAGTGTTAGGTATATATTTTTAAAGATTATGAATTGGATCACATTTTTCCATGTCCAAAGAATTTACTATGAACTGGCCACCTATAAGTAAGTAAACTAGTCATTTAAGAAACCCTGACCAAGTTAGTACATTAATCTGATTTTTGGGATTAATGTTATTGTAAAAGAAGATAAAGACACAGTGTGTAGTAGCCCTGAAACTGATTAGGAGGGTCTTAGCAGGTGTAGTATGTCTGCCTGACATTGATCTTGTTTATTATTCAATGAAAGCAAGAGGTTTAAATCTGATCGACCTACCTTATTGACAGTGGGGAGTAGTCATTATATTCAATAGATAATTGGCCTGGAGATAAAAATCTATGTCAACAGAGCTATTAGAGATCACAAAAAATGATTAAAGGGAGTTCTTATGAACATACTTGATCTAAAAATGTAATTATTTAAGTGTAAGGGAAAAATAACAGTTTTGGAGTAATTGGAGTAAAATGTTTAAAAGAATCAAATTGAATCAATTAAAAGTTCATATTTCACAGGGATTTTGTTACATATATACTGGTAATTTTTTCACTGTCAAAAATAGCTATAATCTATGTCATAATAAGAGCGTTTTGTTACCAATTCATTTCGGAGACAATTGAATTTTGAAACTGATATGATATGGTAATCATTTTAAGTATTAGTATTCCGATAATTGAAACACTCCTGAACAGTATTGATTACCAGAAATGGATCTTACTGTCTAGTCAGTTTGTTCATCAGCAGGATTGTGCAAAAAGTAGTATGTCTGTATTCATTTTACAGATAGAGAATATATATATTTTATGTGTCTGAAAAGGTGTCAATTATTTATATAGGGTATTTGCAATTGGTGGTAGATCTAGTTTAATAGTAGTTCATCTTCATATTGATGAGGGAAAGAGGAATGGGGCTTGTCACAGTTTAACTTGCCTAGCACTTTGCATATGCTTATTTTTGTATTTTGTAATTAAAAAAAACCCCATAAACATTATTCTTCCAAATTCTTCTAAAAAGTTACAATTTTTTATAGCTGGTGAACATTTGAATGGAATTCACAATTGTCCTTCCACAACGGCAGAAATGAGGGAAAATGTAGATCGAGTGTTACAGTACATGGCTGAAAATCGAATCCGCATGCACCATACAAATGCTAAAGGTATACAGGAAAATAAAACTGCATTAACTATTTTGATTATGTGAATAGAATTATTGCTTATCAATAAATATATCCCTACAGCCAATAAATGTTATTTCTTCACTATTGAAAATTCAACAGCAATCAGAATTTACATCCTGGGGAATGGGTGGAAAATTCAAAATGCAGTAAAACTTGTTTGATTACGTTCTTTGGGTTATTAACAAAATCAATACAAACCATGCTTTATGATTCTTTTTCTCCATAGGTTAAAAAATTCAACTTAATCATGTTTGCATGTAAATTCTATTTCAGACATTGTGGAGGGCAAGTTGAAAAGCATCATGAGACTGATTTTGGCCTTGGCTGCTCATTTCAAGCCCCAGTGTGTTAAACATTCCACCCATCAAAGGAGACCGTCTGGATCTGCAATGACTGGTCTTGTTCAGGTGAATACAGTAAAGATCAAAGTTTGCAAGCTAAAGGTCAAAGTTAAGTTATTAGTATTTGCCTAAAGATTACAGAGTTGATGTTCCAAGCTCCATATGTACATGTACTATGTTAATGTTCTAGTTAATTGCTCATATTGACTAGAACACAAGTGACAAACCCTTACAAATTCAAAATGAATGTCAAATTCATCTCCGTTAATGCATTGACCTTTCAGCGATGCATTATTTCTCATTTACATACATGTAGTTATGTTTATGAGAAATTATGTACTGATGAAAGGTCATTGTATTCATAGACAGGAATTTGACATTCATTTGAATTTTTAAGGGCATATCACAGATGTTGATGGTGAAATTGTATTGATTTTAGGGAGCATCTGCAGCTTTGACAGAGGCCCGCAGAAATGCTGCAAAAGCTGGTAATAGCTTCAGGCGAAACAGACCACCCACCAACTATGCTGATCGGAGGTTTGTTTTAAAGGATAACATGAGAAAAAAGCTTTTAACTTATATTTTTACTCAGCTTTATATGTAAAAGTGATCAGCTACATTGTAAATGAAAGAAATGGAATTCTAGTTTTGAAGAGCATCATTTTTCATGTCATTTTTCTTACCAGGAAAACCTATCATGGAAGTAGCTCTGACCAGTTAAGTGATTCAGACCAAAGTTTTGGGGACCAAAGAAAATCCCTCTTTGGCCGGGATGAGGGGGACGGAGCCAGTGCTGACAAAAGCCCAATTCCTAGTGCTCGAGTACCTAGTTCAGTGGCCCAGCATCCTGCAGTCAGGGGCACACCCCTCTCCAAAAGTCATTCCTCTGATCATATATCAGGTATTAAAAAAGGCTAGAGCATGTGAAAGATGCATAATGTAAAACCCTACTGGTTATTTAATCTGCCCAAAATGGATAATATGCAGAATTGTCATCTGAATTTTCTTTTCTTTCTTTCTTTTTTTTTTTGTTTGTACGTGATGAAGTTTGCTATAAATATATGTGCTAATTGGATTCATCCGTGTTTTAGAATTAAGTTTGCAGCTTGATTTCTGTGATAATAACAAAGTACATGTATATGAAATTTCCTACAGCAAAGGACAGTGGGACAGAATTAGAGGACTCTGGGTCTAACTATGTGGAACGCTCACATTTTGATGACCTAGTCTCTGAATACATGGAAGTGTATGATGATATGAAACATACCAAAGATGACTTACTCAAATTACAAGACCTGGTAAGTTACAACAGAACAGATGTACACAGTCAACTGTGAATCATTGAATTACAGCAGTGATAAGTCATGAAAGTTATAATGACTTAGTGCAGTTTTCCTTTATGGACTGTTAAAAACACATTAATACCTAGTACAATGAATTGTTGTTTTTGAGAGATTGCACATCTTTGATGAAAAGTGAGAATGAAAATAAGGATGATTTATTCTATGAGTATATGTTCCTCTTCATTCAATCTTTATTTATTATCTGAATATTAAATTGACGAGTGGCCAAACCATGCATGTCACGACAAAGAAATAACCAATTTAAAGTGCTATTTTTTATGCTGTACAGTTATTATGTGGAGAGCCGCCAGATGGTGAAGAGGGAGATAAATCTGTGATTATTGGGTCTAGTCCAGAGGAGCAAATTGTAAGTGCTTGTTGTAATTTTTCATGTGTTGATGAATTACATTTACAAGCAGTAATGTAAGAAATATTTTAACCTCCAGTTTAAAATAGGCCTGGATGACTGGATTAATCAATTGTTTAAATTTGTGATTGTGGTACATTATATTCTCTGCTGCTGGAATCTTGAATTGTCAGTGAAATTTTGTCAAATTAAAACCCTGTCATTTTCTTTTTAACATTTGATTTTTATAACCCAGGCAAATTTGTATTTTGGATGTACTAGTATTTATGAAGGAATGTATTTGTTGTGATCTTGTTGCTTTTTGTACCATTTGCTTTTATCTCTAATCTCATTTTCAGGCAATATTAAAAAGTCAGTTACTACAATCTACAATAATACAAAATGATTTACGAGAAGATTTGTCTCGGACAAAGAATGAATGTATGCTGCTACAGGGAAATAAAGTGAGGGGTTAAAATGAAGGAATTGGCTTTCAAATTCCTTGCATTTCATTACTGTGCATTCAAATTCTGATTGATATTTTGATTTTCAATGAGTGGAGCACTCATATTCATTACGTCTTTCCTTGTGGAATTTATTGGTTGATGTTGTTTTGTAGGGAGGGTTACAGCAAAGATTATCAGAACAGGATGAAACAATCAGCCAACTGAAGCAGGAAATCTTACGCAGAGATTTTGACAAGCAGAATTCAGAGTTAGAAAAGGTTTCCAAAAAACTACCCTATAGTTTTGTGAAAATTTGTTTATAATGCCTTGCTTTATTAACTCTCTAGAAGACAACACGTTACTAACTTTATTAATTTATTTTTTTTATCCAGATTGAATTGAGGAAGAATGTACAAGAGAGAGACAAAACCATATTAGATCTTAAAGTAAGAATACATATATACTTTTAAATGCTAGTATGAAACATTTTTTGGCATTTTTTTTTTAAATAAGGTTCAGTTGACTTTGATTAATGATAGAAGAAACTTTAAAGATGGCTCCTCTGGAAGTCATGATTGACAATATTTGGTTTGACATGCTTTGCAGAAAGACATAGCAAGAAGGGACCAAAGAATTGACCAACTTCAGAATGAGCTACAAATGCAGATCCAGGAGAAAGAGTCGATCACTAGAGCTCTAAAGCAAAAAATCTCTGAACTACACGACCGACTGAGGGTGGTAGGGGAACATGGGGTAAGCATTTTCTGTCATTGATAAATGTGCTCTGAACATCTGTACCCACAGTAAAAAGATAGCAAATTTTGAAAGATCATGTAGAAAAATGTTTATAGATGTGTAGTAAATAAAACATGTACGTCACTGTTTTGCAGGCCAATTTGAAGGCAAAAGTGGCAGTTCAAGACAAAAGAATGGCAAAGTTGGAGGGAAAGATTCTCTCTTCATCAGATAGAGATTCCTCTGTGTCTTCACAAGTAAGACTTGTGATTTTCTGTAAAACATTGATGCACATTCATTGTTCAGTATGCTACAAGTATAACATCAACTGCAAATAGAATTCCTTGATTTATTGTTAGGTGATTTAGAAGAATTGTTTAAGTTTGGAATACTATGAGGAGAAAAGACTGTCATACAAGCATCAGAAAAACTGTAATTTCATGTAAATGATAAACTCCAATTTTTTTTTTTTTTTTTTTGGACAGGGCAGTGTAGATGACCATCAGGTTGTGAGGGATGCCCTGAACAGTTTACGGGTCAGCTTTAAAGGAGGGGATCCACAACTCCATACTCTGGAAACATTAGAACAAAGTGTGTCATCCCTCCTGGAGAAAAACCATCAAAATAACAGTACATCAAGTAATGGAAGTCACCAGGTATGTAGTCAAAAAAGCTAGAGAAAGCAAATAGCAGAAGTACTTTTTAAATGAATTTTATTAAGGATTTATGATTGTTCACTTTTGGGCACATTTTACAAGCACTCATTTTAATGTTTTCTTTTTTACATGAAAACACTTTACATATTTGTGTGTTTTTGTTTTTTGTTTTGTTTTGTTTGTTTGTTTTTTGTTGTTTTTTTTACTTATGGTCTTATGGTGAATTTGTTTCACATCTTTTATGTTATATTTACTTTTAGCCAGTGATTAATATATTAATGAAATAAGATTTAAGGTGCAGTTTGTCTCATTTTGGACTATTAGTATGATTTTTACTCATTATGTGTCTCCTGAAAGCTGAGATTTTAACCATGTCAGGTGTTTTGTTGATTGCAGAATTCTTACACCAATAATTCTTCACGGAGAATCAATTTTGACTCCACTGGTGACGTTAGGCGATCACCTATCACAGCTATACCAGGTAGTACAAGTGAGTGTATTTAGTTTGCAGTGATCACATAATACCTTGGTGGTGGATCACAATGGGTGGATTTAAATTGTTGTGTTTGATGGATTCAAGGTACTATATTTCTTTATCACACCATATTCTGGTCAAGGAGGTAATCTGGGTGTCACAAATTTGACATTTGTACTCTTGTTCAAAGAGCCCACTTTTCCACCATTATTAACCTTGGTCTAGCATGCAAGTAGAATAACTCTATAAATGGGGAATGTCGAAGTGTTATTTGAAATACAGAATGCATAATATTTATAACAGTTGTACATGTAAAAGAAAGGAGAGGAAATCATAACGTAAAGTTACAACCAAAAATGCACAAAGATTGCTTATCATATGATCTATTTTCAATGTTTTTAGCTCTACTGGTCAGAGACCAGAAGAGCTTATGCGATAGTAATGTGTCCGTCGTCCGTCCGTCTGTCTGTCTGTCTGTCTGTCCGTCTGTAAACAATTTTTCAAAATGCTACTCCTCCTACAGTTTTGGTCTGATTTCAATATAACTTTGCACACAAGTAGACTACACTAAGATACATAATTCTGTGTATTGGTTTTTGATTTCGATGAACGGTGTTGCCATGGTTACTAAAAATAGAAATTTCTGTGAAAAACATTCAAAATGCTACTCCTCCTACAGTTTTGATCTGATTTCAATATAACTTGGCACACAAGTAGACTATACAAAGATGCATAATTCTGTGTATCGGTTTTTGATTTCGATGAACGGTGTTGCCATGGTTACTAAAAATAGAAATTTCTGTGAAAAACATTCAAAATGCTACTCCTCCTACAGTTTTGATCTGATTTCAATATAACTTGGCACACAAGTAGACTATACTAAGATGCATAATTCTGTGTATCGGTTTTTGATTTCGATGAACGGTGTTGCCATGGTTACTAAAAATAGAAATTTCTGTGAAAAACATTCAAAATGCTACTCCTCCTACAGTTTTGATCTTATTTCAGTATAAGTTGGCACACAAGTAGACTATACTAAGATGCATAATTCTGTGTATCGGTTTTTGATTTCGATGAACGGTGTTGCCATGGTTACTAAAAATAGAAATTTCTGTAAAAAACATTCAAAATGCTACTCCTCCTACAGTTTTGATCTGATTTCAATATAACTTGGCACACAAGTAGACTATACAAAGATGCATAATTCTGTGTATCGGTTTTTGATTTCGATGAACGGTGTTGCCATGGTTACTAAAAATAGAAATTTCTGTGAAAAACATTCAAAATGCTACTCCTCCTACAGTTTTGGTCTGATTTCAATATAACTTGGCACACAAGTAGACTATACTAAGATGCATAATTCTGTATATCGGTTTTTGATTTCAATGAACGGTGTTGCCATGGTTACTAAAAATAGAAATTTCTGTGAAATACTTTCAAAATGCTACTCCTCCTACAGTTTTGATCTGATTTCAATATAACTTGGCACACAAGTAGACTATAATAAAATACATAATTCTGTTTATCGGTTTTTGATTTCAATGAACGATGTTGCCATGGTAACTAAAAATAGAAATTTCTGTGAAATACTTTCAAAATGCTACTCCTCTTACAGTTTTGATCTGATTTCAATATAACTTGGCAAACAAGCAGACTACACTAAGATACATAATTCTGTGTATCGGTTTTTGATTTCGATGAACATTGTTGCCATGGTTACTAAAAATAGAAATTTCCTTGAAATACCTTCAAAATGCTACCCCTACAGTTTTGGTCTGATTTTAGTATTACTTAGCATACAAGTAAACTACACTAAGATACATAATTCTCTGTACCAGTTTCGGATTTTGATGAATGGTGTTGCCATGGTTACTAAAAATAGAAATTTTCTTGAAATACTTTCAAAACGCTACTCCTCCTACACTTTTTGTCTGATTTCAGAATAATGTGGCATACAAGTAGACTACAGAGATACATAATTGGTGTTATTGTTTTTTGATTTTGTTGAATGATTTTGCCATGGTTACTTAAATCAAAATTTCAGTAAAATTGTTTTAAAAGGCTACTCCTCCTACAGTTTTAGTATGATATAATAATAAATCTTGCCAAAAAGAGACTAAACCAAGGATCATTATTCTATTTATTGCTGTTGCAAAGTTTCAAGTCCAAGTGCTACTTTTATCTTCCTTTATAAATACAACCAGTAGAGCTACAGTCTCATCAGAGACTTCTGGTTGTATTGTATACATGTAATGTTGTTTCAAATTTTGTAGGTTTCTCTGTCAATCAGTTAGATGGACCACCAAATGGGAATATCGGTAAAAGCCAAAACTCCACTAAAGTGCTATATTTCACAGACAAGACTGTCAATCCATGCATGTGTACAATCCATAAAAGGTATGTGGTGTTGGCATATGTTTCTTTCAAGATATCCAAATGTAATTACATTATGAGACAGGAAAATGGTAAGGCATCACCATTTATTCATCTGTCTATTAGCTTTTTGTGTCCAAATCATTATGCACACTGCAATGGGTAGGGTGTACAGATATGGAAAATATTTTACTTTATTAGGAACCATAATATTGCAACTTGGAGTTGCAAATATCTACAACCACAGTGCTTACTAGGCATATTGTATGCTTCAGTGATTTATCCTATTCAGATTTCAGAAATAATTAAATAAAAACAAAATGAATCTCTATTTCACATCCTGTATGGTTGGAAAATTATAATGTATATATGAAATGTACATGTATCTGAGTGCCTTTAAAGTAATGGATCATGCATGACTCTCCCTAAAAATAAAGTTTACAGAGACACTGTATAGATAAGTATTAAATTTCAAAAGATGATGAAAATTCTGCACCTGAATGCATGTGTTAGAGTTGTGCATTACATTAAACAGTCAAATTAATGCTATGGAAAAAAAAACATTTCCAAACTTTTATTGAAGTAGAATTTGACATATTTCTTTGCCAGGACACAAAATTCTAAAGAGAGCTCAGTTTGAGAGGTTTGGTAGGTAGGGTGTGTTATTGGATTGTAGATATATATATAACTAGGTAGTGTGCTCCTTGCCAGACCCTCATGTAATCATTGTGCTGTGTTCTCAGTCTGCGCACTTTGTTTAAATTGGTAACAGGCAGCTGTGTGCTCTGCTGTGGGAAAAAAAATCATCAGCTTGTTTATAAGGAAAATCCTTCATACCGGCTTTAAAAGGAAAAAACCCTCATATTAGCTTTAACATCAGTGTGTTCATAAAATAGTCATGAATAATTCAGAAAAGTGAATTAATATCTTTGAAGGTTTTTTGAATGCATGTCGCTTGAAGTTGAATTAATTTGCAAAATACAAAATGTATTTATGCAAAAAAAAGAAAAAGGTTTAATGTTTGAGAATAGTTCGTAAATGTTATTTTAATTCACATGACAAATATTGTATGTCATAAGAACTAATGAAATACTATGTTTATTTTATTTTTTTTTTTATTTTTTCAGTATTTCACTGTTTGTAAATTCCATTATATTTTAATTTTTTCAGACTAGGGGAAATAACTCTTAAAGATTTCAAAAAAATCCATGATAAGAACGTGGGGAACTATCGTTATTCCTTCAAAGCTCTGGATCCGGAGTTTGGGACAGTGAAAGAGGAAGTGATGAATGACGATGACATCATTCCAGGATGGGAGGGCAAAATTGTGGCGTGGATTGAAGAAGACACAGGATAGCATCGGAAAATAAACCAATCATAACCAGCTTAGCTTGCCTGTCCCATGTGATACCTCAGTTCAGTTTCCCTCCCAGTTGCTCTTATTTGTTGACATTTTGAAATTTGTTACTAGTTTGTCGTTTTGCCTTTGAGCAAGAAGTGCTCTTGAATCTGGTTCATTTTCTTAATAGTATTTTGCAGTCAGTAGAATATTTCAGATCCTGTATGAGGCCAGTGCTTCCAAAGTAGGATTTATGTCTCAGAAAGATCTGAATTTCATTTTTTTTATGTACAATTAGCTAGATCTGATATCAATGAAAATCGGATGATGTTCCTTATTTTTCAATTTGAGTGATACAGGTATACATGTATAGACATTTGTAAAATGTAGAACAACATTTTGTTTATATGGGCAGTGATATTTATTCTTTTTCCGGGTATTGGACATATTGGATATGTCTTGTTTTTGTGCAATAGTTTTGGCATATAAATGTAAAGGCAGTGTACAGAAGTATATGTTGATATCTGATGATATCTACATTGCACCATTTTGAAGTGTTTAGTAATATACATTGATATATATATAGTCATTTTGGAAGTTTGCAAATTCCTGTCTCTCTACTTACTTTCAGTTAACTTTTTATTGATAATTATTTATTCTCCTCTCCTAACTTTTTATTGATAATTATTTATTCTCCTCTCCTAACTTTTTATTGATAATTATTTATTCTCCTCTCCTTTTATTTCTCTGTTCTACTAAAGATCTGTGATAAATCTTAGACATACCTTTTTTTGTGCTCAAATTTATTTTTACATTCTTGTGTATCTTCTCTGTTGCTCTCAGAGATTTGATAGGTGTGTGTGTGTAATATTATAAATAAGGGGAGCTACACTGTTGTCCAGTATCCAGGTTATTGGTAGTTGCGGGGATTACATTAACAATATTTTAATCTCTTAGGAAAATGTCTTAGAAAGCCTAGTTGACCACACTGGGGTGTATTTAGTATTTATATGTAGTCAGTGCTTCATAGTTTTAGATTTTGTTGAAACAGGAGACCAAAAAATTTCTCTGTCTGATTTCTATGTAATTGATAATTTTCTAAAGTTCCTGTGTCTTTCTGCAGATCATTTGCTTTTTCAAGGTTAAGTTTTTTTTTTCTGAATACCAGAATACAGTGTTAAAATCTCAAGATCAGCCATATTGTTCTTTTACATTATTTGCCAATCTCTATTGATATTTCCCAATTTAGACTAGTTTGGTGAAAAAAAATCTGACTTTATTATGAGAATGAATTCACTCCAAATATATTGATGCTTGGATATCAGTATTCATGTCCATCTTTGAAACAGTTTTGAGCAAAATCTAATGTTGGAAGAGCATTTTTTTTTTCAACTTGTGTCATTGATTGTTTATAATTTGTGTTTTCCAATCTAGTCCTTTTATTTTTGGAAAGATTTACTTTATTCATCAGGGATACAGACATTCCTTGTGAAAGATATTGTTTAGGACAGTTGGCATGGCATTCCTGTTCTGTACAACTGGCATTCCTGTTGAAGAAGTTCAATTTTGTTTTATGATATGACAATAAGTAATGTCTACTTGAACCTACTAATAGTTTCTTATTAATCTCCATTATATTTTCTGTCCATTTTTTTCCTGTGCAAAAGATCAAACAGATTTGTTGATATTTTTCTTATACTTGATATTTAATTTTCTTTTCAAATTTTTTTTTTTTTCACAGTGTAATCATTTGTCTCAAAATAGTTGAAAGTTTCCATTAGAAGTGTATAAACGGTGATATGTCCTCCAAGAGAGGGTGTTTTTTATATATTTACACTTATTTTGTGTGTTGTCTAGTAGTCCGCAGTATTATTGCCTCTACACAATTTTAAGCAGACATCATTCCTCGATTATGATGTTTAAACTGCCTTACAATCCAGTCTGTTTGAACATGTAAGAACAATTTTTTTGTTTTCGCATTTGTGAATAAATGTTGAAAGATGGTAAATATTGTGTTTTCTTGTAATTATTGAAGTTATAAGACTGTGGGGCCAAATTGGGGTTACAAGTTTTATAAATGGTGGTTGTGGATCATCAATTATGTTAATTATACCAAAAATTAAGGTTAAACTACATTTAGGATTTATTATCTCCATGTTTATGTGCAGACGTGTACCCTCTTCCAGAAAACAAGTTAAAAACTTGTTTATCACTGATATACATGTATACTTCGTAAGTCTGTAGATCCAAACATATTTTTAAAGAAAATGTCATCTTAAATTTCTTGGTCAATTTAAAGCAAATACAGCCTGAATACCAATTAAGGTTTTCTCGTATAATGTTTTTAGCTCTACTGGTCAGAAACCAGAAGAGCTTATGCAATAGCAAGGTGTTCATCGTCTGACCACATCAAGACAAATAATTCTATGTAATGTTTTTTTATTTCAATGAATGGTGTTGCCATGGTTACTAAACATAGAAATTTCTGTGAAATTTCATTAAAACACTACTCCTCCTACAATTTTGGTTTGATTTCAATATAACTTGGCACACAACTAGACTGCACTAAGATACATAATTCAGTGCATTGGTTTTTGATAAAAAATGTTGCCATGGTTACTAAAAATAGAAAATTTCTTTGAAATAGTTTTAAAATGCTACTACTCCTACATTTTTGGTCTGATTTCAATATAACTCGGCACAGAGGTAGACCACACTAAGATATAAAATTCAGTGCATCATTTTTATTTTATTTTGATGAATGGTGTTGCCATGGTTATTAAAAATAGAAATTTGTGTGAAATTCCTTTAAAATGCTACTCCTACAGTTTTAATCTGATTTCAGTATAACTTGGCACACTAGTAGACTACACTAAGATACATAATTCAATGCATCGTTTTTTTTTTTTTTTTTGATTTCGATGAACAATGTTGCCATGGTTATTAAAGATAGAATTTTCTGTGAAATATTTTCAAAACGCTACTCCTCCTACAGTTTTGGTCTGATTTCAATATAACTTGGCACACAAGAAGACTACAGGAGGGGTGCTAATAGCTAGCACCTGAGGCAAGGACAGATTATTTAATACTTTTTATCTTATTGCATGGTCTTGCTATGTTAATAAAAGCAGAAATTTCAAAAGGCTACTCCAACAGTTTTAGTTTGATTGTAATAAATCTTGCCACAAAGAAACTAAACCAAGAACCATTATTCTATTTATTGCTGTTGCATAGTTTCAAGTGTAAGTGCTACTTTTCGTACAAACCAGTAGAGCTACAGTCTCTCAGAGACTTTTGGTTTAATTTTTCAATCAATTTTGTAACCTTTTTTTTTTTTTTTTTTTTTTAAAAACATATTCAAAACTATTAATGTGCCATTAAAAATCTCAGGTATAATATATCAATGACCAACCACTGGTCCACATCATTTAAGTTACATCTGGCAAAAAAAGTTATATTAACTAGAGCCGAGCTCGTTGCAAAGCAACGAGTAGGTCTTCCGTTGGAGCTGCAGGCAGGAAGAAGTGACCTTGAGTCAAGGTCATACCATATCATAAGGTTATAAGCAATCTTGTAAGAGGTATCAACTAACAATGTTTCACTCTGTAGTATAAAGACGATAAAGGAATGCATGTGACCTTGAACTTGTCCAAATGACCTTGCGAAAGCCATGACACACTCTGGTTATGAGCAAACCCCATCTGTGTATTACTAACTTCTCAAATTCACTCATGTTCATACAGTCCATACATCCAGTCAAAATATTTTATCCTTAGTGACCTTGAACTTGAGTTTAGGCCATGTCACACTCTGCATGATACCAACAATGTTTCACTAGAAAAAGACGGTAACGAATTTAAAGCTTCTCATCCAAACTCATCCAAATGACCTTTCATCAAGACCTTAACACACACTGGTTAAGAAAAATCCCAATTTGTGAGTTATTGACTGGATAAGGTTAGCCATGTTCTTTCAGACCATAGATCGAGTCAAATAATTTATCAGGTTCCACACAATGATTTAAGGATTCATTGTGAATGTTTTTGTCTAGTTTGGATATTGAACAAGACGTGTTTGTGAAACATTGATGCCCCGGTATTGCAGCTTATGGCAAAGGTTTAAGTTTCTCAAATCCGTATCCAACTCCAAGGTCAAAGTCAAGAGATAAGAAATTATGTTACCCAAAGAAAGATCTCGCCTCAGTGAATATAACTGTGAAATATGAAACCGCTATAAGACTAACTATTGAAAAGCATGGCAAAGGTTATTTTTTTTTATACTCAAGTCAAATGTTAAGGTCAAGGATAGATTAACGGTGTCCAAAGGAATGCCTTGTCATAAGAAATAGACATTGAAATATGAAAGCCCTAGCATTAATTATTCAAAAGTTATGACAAAGGTCAACGTTTTTTTTTTCAAAAGTAGGTCAAACCCCAAGATCAAGGACAAAAGTCAAAACTGTCGGTACTCAAGGGAGGGTCTTGTCACAAGAAACACACATGTAAAAATACGAAAACCCTAACATCAACCGTTGAAAAGTTATGAATGAGATTAAAATGTTTCAAAGGTAGGTCAAACTCTAAGGTCAAAGGTGAAAATTCAAAACTTTTAAATTTTTTTTAAAGTACGTCAAACTCCAAGGTCAAGGTCAAATAGTAAAAATTGTTGATATCCAATGAACAGCGTTTTCACAAGGAATACACCTGTGAATGTGAAAACACTAGTCCAAACCGTTCAAAAGGTATTGCCAAGGTTAGATTTTTTAAAAAGTGGGTCAAACTCCAAGGTGAACGTCACAAGGTCAAAAATATTTATTCCAAAGAAAAGGTCTTGTCACAAAGAATTTCGGATGTGAAGTATGAAAGCCCTAACGCCAACTGTTCAAAAGGCTAAAGAACAAGGTACGGTTTCAATACAAATCTTGCCCTGTGTTTTTCTTTAAAAATAAAAGTGATGTAAAAAATTAAAACTCATGCTTTTTGAATTATTGAAATTCATGCAGAAAGATCATACAAATCTTTTTTCTCACATGACCTTCCAAATGCTAATTGTGACGTCATAAACTTGTGCATTTTCCCGTATTTTCTTAAAAAGTTGCAGAAGACATCAATTTTCAATGGAATTTTCTTTCAGATGATATTGTTCACAGGCATCGCCCACAAAAATTTTGAGATATGTGATTTTTCAAAGAATTTTACACAACATATCTAAAAATTAACGTGGGCGACGGCTGTGGACACTATTTTCTTAAGGAAAATAACCCTTGAAATGGGTCATTTTGAGGCTTTTTCTGTTTAAAATAGAGAAATGCATCAAATTAATGACGTCATATATCCAGAATGGTACTCCATCATGCTATATTCTTTCCTGATTTATTACAGTCATATACTCAACTAATATTTAAGCCAGTTTCAAAACTTTTTGAAAACATTAAATTTTTAGGGAACAATAAAGCTAAAACCATACCTTGTTCTTTTGCATAGTTGGTCAAACTAAAAGGCTGTAGAAAGGATAAGAGAGAATCCGAGATATTCAATCAAGCAAACTTATGATATTGCAGATCAAATAAAGCATGAGCTATAAGAGCAGGCACGTAGCATCAGCCTCCCCCTTTTTTCAGACCTAATTTTTTACTTTAGTAATGTTCATTGAAAGTCCCGTTGGCCCCCACTTTTTGTTGCAGTATTGTCCCGTTGTCCCCACCCCTTTCCGCCAGGAAATAGGATTCTGGGCTATTTTCCGATTTTGGTTTTGCTTGTGAAGTCTTTTCAGGTAAGTTATTTTTTTTCTCTGGCTGCCCCCCCCCCCCTTTTCAAAAACGATGCTATGTCCTTGAAAAGTAACATGTAGAAATGTCTGTCCTGGCATATGTTATAGTTTTATAATCTACAGCCTAACTTTGCA